TTCCCTGTGGTTCTCCCAAGGCAGGGCCCAGGGCGGGGGCTAAGAGTCAGCCTTCGACTCTTCCTGAGCCGTGCATGGCTGTTCCCCATGTCCCAGCAGCTCTGTCGGCCCAGGGGACAAAGGCATTGCAGACGGCCCAGAGGAGCGCCCGGCGGGCGGTGAACCTGGTCGCGATGGAGATCCAGCACAGATTGCATGAGTGCCGGGGCTGCGCCGACCACACGACCCCCTGCGCGGGTGAGCTTGCCCAGACCGGCCCGCTCCCCTCCATTCAGGCTTGACTCCCTCCTGGAGACAGAGACTGGGCGGGGCTAAAGCCGGGACCGTGCTTGCGGACGTCTCTCCAAGCGGAAAGGGCATCTCACCGCGGCACAGCTAGTGCAACAGCAGGAGGGCAGGCGCGGTCGGGGCTCATCTGGTGAACACCGAGAGGCCCACGCTGCTGAAACAGACGCTGGCTGCTAGGGGCGGGGCGGGAGAACGGGAGCCCAGGGGAGAGAAGGCTGGGCCCGGCTTGAGGCGGAGGAAGGGTGGGAGGGTGGTGGCAGTGAAGCTCAAAGGGTCTGTTTCTCAGCAGGACCTGGGCGCCCCAGGCCTCAAGGCCCCCTGCTCCAGGATCCACCTGAGCCAGGTGAAGCTGAAAAAGTTTCAAGGGGGCAGGACTGGGAGGAGGTGGAGCCTGGAGGGGCCTGGATGGCGAGAGCCGCCAGGACTTGTCTCCCGTGACAGCGGCTCCACCCTTCTAGGGCAGTGTGGCGAGAGGCGTCGGGACACGGTCAACGTGACGCTGGCCCGGGGCCGCATTGTAGGGGGCAGCGCGGCGCCGCCTGGGGCCTGGCCCTGGCTGGTGAGGCTGCAGCTCAACGGGCAGCCTCTGTGTGGCGGCGTCCTCGTGGCGGCGTCCTGGGTGCTCACAGCGGCGCACTGCTTCGCGGGGTACGTCGGACCCCCAGGCTCCTGCCCAGTCGGGTTCCCAGCTCACGGTCCGACTCCTCCCCGATCTTTTTGGGCGGGCGACACGCACGAGGGCCGGTCTCTGCCGCCCCCTGGCGGCCGCAGCCCGCTCCTCCGTTGCTCGGCTCCCCGGCGCCGGGGGCTCGTATTCGGCCCCGTGGCTGCGGCGGCCTCTCCCAGGCCCTCCCTCCCTCCCCGCAGGCGGGGAAATGGCTCCGCGGGCGGCCTCGCTGGGTGGTGACCCTGGGCGGAGAGCAGGGTCTCCCGGGAACTTCGCTGCACCCCGGTCCCGAGTTACCTCCCAACCCTCGCCCCGCAGCGCCCCGAACGAGCTTCTGTGGACGGTGCTGTTGGCCGGGGGGCCCGGGGGAGAGCCACGGGAGGAAGTGCCGGTGAACCGCATCTTGCCCCACCCTGAGGTGAGAGGGCGGGCCCCAGGGCCTCAGAGCTGGGAACAGCACCTTCCCCCCACACCTCGCTGACACTGCGTCGCCACTCCCATCCTAGTTTGACCCGCGGACCTTCCACAGCGACCTTGCCCTGGTGCAGCTGTGGACGCCGGTGAGCCCCGCCGGGGCGGCGCGCCCCGTGTGCCTGCCCCCGGGACCCCGGGAGCCCCCCGCCGGCACCGCCTGCGCCATCGCAGGCTGGGGGGCTCTCTTCGAAGGTACCGGCAGGACCGGACCTGGGCAAGCCGCGCGTGTGCCTAGGATGAATGGGGGCGGGGCTGGCGGAGTTTGGGGAGGCGGGCGAGTCAGGACTCCGACGTAGGCCTAGCTGTCTTCGCAAAATGCTGCCGGATCTCGCGAAAGGGAGGGACCCAGGGGACACAGTGGGAAAGCGGACCCTCAGAGCGGAGCCCTTGCCCTCCAGGCCTGAGCTCCCCCCACTGCTTCCCGGTAGATGGGCCAGAGGCGGACTCCGTCAGGGAGGCCCGCGTGCCCCTGCTCAGCGCCGACACCTGCAGGAGGGCCCTGGGGCCCGGGCTGCACCCCAGCACCATGCTTTGTGCCGGTTACCTGGCCGGGGGCATCGACTCATGCCAGGTACGAGGCCCAGCTGACCGCAGGGCGCTGGATGGGCCACTCTCCAGGCGCGGGACGGCCTACTTTCCTTCTAAGTCAGGTTGTCACTCAACGTCTCTGAGCCTCGATGTCCTCATGACTAAAATGGGTACAAAGGTGGTGACCCCAGTCGAGCTCAGAGCTGCCTTATCCTGCCAGGTGTAAGGCTAACATACGGCGGGGGCGGGGGGGGGGGCGGGAATGGGAGGGGTGGGCAGGTCCATGCAGTGCCCTCTCTCTCCCTGCCCCTCCCCTGCAGGGTGACTCTGGAGGCCCCCTCACCTGTTCTGAGCCTGACCCCCACCCCAGGGAGGTCCTGTATGGAGTCACCTCGTGGGGGGATGGATGCGGGGAGCCGGGGAAGCCTGGGGTCTACACCCGTGTGGCCGTTTTCAGGGACTGGCTCCAGGAGCAGATGAGTGGTGAGTGGGGGGTTCCCATGGCCCCGGCGGCAGACCGTCCCGCTGTGGAGCGAGCCCAGTCTTGTTTCTGTCCTGCCGACCCTCGGCCCTCTTCTGCCTCTCCGTAAGCCCGTCTGCCTCCTGGTCAGGGCTTCCGGGGCAAGGACTCAAAACGGGGGGCGGCGGGAGCGGGTGAACCAGCCCCTGCCGACCTCCGCAGCGGCCCCCTCCAGCCGTGAGCCCAGCTGCAGGGAGCTTCTGGCCTGGGAACCTGCGGAGGAGCCACTAGCAGACGCCGCCCCGCCCTGCGCCTTCTATGCCCACCTGTGCAGGGGACCCAAGGGCGCGTGTGCGCCCCTAGCGCGTCAGCAGTGCCTGCAGCGCCGACGACGGTGTGGTCAGTCCCGTTCCCGGGGCTGGGCCGGGGAGCAGGAGGCCTGGCCCGCGTCTGACCTCCAACCACACCCTCGTCCCGCCCGCAGAGCTGCGCTCGCTGGCCCACACCCTGCTGGAGCTGCTGCGGGGCGCCCAGGAGCTATTCGGTCCACGCCCGGGCGTGCGGCCCCTGGCCCCGGCCCTGGCGCGCCCCGCTCGTTCGCTCCAGGAGCTTCCTAGGCACCCCACCCGGGAGCAGCGGCTGCACCCAGGTACCCCAAGCCCTCGCGGCCCAGCCCCGTCTCTCCCCTGCGCGAGCAAGGCTTTCCCCTAATCTTGTGATTCCCCAGGGTCCCCGGCTGCGGGCGCCCCGTGGCGGAAGCGGAGGCCAGAGCAGCGCGGAGACGTGCACGGTAACTACGCCACCTGTCGGCCGCTGCCAGAGGAACAGGCCGAGAGCGGGCGGAGGCCTGGAGGGCAGTCTGGGGTCTGCGCGGGGAAGCAGTTACCCGAGGGGGCAAGGGGCAGAGCCTCCCCGGAAGCAAGGGGATGACTCTGGGGCCACTTGTGGCTTTGGGCCTCATCTGTGTCAGGAAATGCTCGGCTCTGTGTTACCACCTCACCTCTCTGAGCCTCAGTTTCTCCAGCCGGAGCTTGAGAAGCTGCCCCCTGGGAAGCGGTCCTGAGGTTCTGGTGGGATCCACTCCCCTCCCCCCACTCCCTGCTGGTGTCTCTCGCCCTGCAGACTGCCCGGGCCTGGAGCCCCTGCGGCAGAGGCTGGCCGCCCTCCAGGACACCCATGCCTGGATCCTGCAGGTCCCCTCGGAGCGTCTGGCCATGGACTTTCAGGAGGTAGTTGGGGCTTCTCTGGCCCCTTCACAGGGGCTCCCAAAGGCAGACCTGGGTCAGCCCTGACCGGTAGGGGGCAGAAGAGGCACCCTCCCCAGCAGGAAGGAGGACCTTCCCCTGCAGCCTGGGGGGTGGGGAGCAGAGTCCAAGTGGAAGGGGCAGCTGGCTGTGAGCTGGGGCACCCGTGGGTGTGCAGGTGTGGGGGGGAGGGGGATGGAGGAGGGGAGGGGCGTGCAGGGGTGTCCAGGTGAGCAAGGAGTGTGCTGAAGGGTTGTGCAGGGGTGAGGAAGGGGGTGCGGGTGGGTGAGAGTTCGGAGGGCCAGGAGGAGGCGACCAAGAGTAGGGTTGTGGGCCCCTGAGCGTCCTCCTCCGTCCGCAGGTCCTGGCGGATCTGGGCTCCAAGACCATCACGGGGCTCTTCCAAGCCTGGGTCCGGGCGGGCCTGGGGGGCCAGCATGTGGTCTTCGGCGGCCTGGTGGGCCTGGAGCCAGCCACCCTGGCACGAAGCCTGCCCCGGCTGCTGGTGCAGGCGCTGCAGGCCTTCCGCCTGGCCACTCAGGCCAAGGCAGAGCCCCGAGGAGCCCAGTCGGGTGCCGGGCAGAGCTGGAAGCTGGAGGGGGAGGAGCACCGCCCACCTGGCTCTCTGCTCCCCTCCGCCGGGCAGCCACGGGCCACGTCTGGGCCCCCAGCCCCTGGTCAGGACCCGCTGCCGCCAGGGGCTGGGCGTGTTCGGGGAGCGTGATGACAGACTGCCACAGCTGGCCCGGTGTGCGGGGTGGGGCAGGGGCCTGGGCCCCACGTGTCCTACCAGATGTGCCATCAGAAAACCACGGCTGCCTAATAAATGTTATTTATGGCGTATGGAAACAACTCTGGAGCTTTCTTGGGATGGGAGCCGGGTGAGGGGGTATCAGCCTCTAGGAGCAGGGCCGCGGAGGGCCCAGCCTCCAGAAGCAGGTGGCAGAGGTCACAACCACGCAGGAGAGGGCTGCCAAGCTGAGCAAACCTGTCTGCCTCCCCGGAAACGGCAGCTGGCTTGCCCGTTGCCGCTCCGAGATCCACGGCCAACCAGCACGGCGCCGGTGTCCACTGCCCGCCCCCCAGCCCAGCCCTCACCCCGCTGCTGGCGGTGGGGACTCCTAGCCTGGGAAATTCACCTCTTGTCCTCGGCTCTGGCTCCGGCCCTGCCAGCCAGCCCCTGTCCCCACCCCCTCGTCACCTGCCCAGGGCCCCCCCCCCCAGCAGAGCCTCGAAGTATCAGATTGCATTTCCGGCTGCCTCTTCCCTGGGTCCCTCCGCCCCCACCCTGCACCTGTCCCCTCTGCCACTCACCCACATCCCCCAGCCCAGTGGACAGGAGGAGCAGACACAGCACCTAGCTGGAGGGACAGGATGGAGGGGCCCGTGTTAGCGCTGGGGCTGCTGGCCGCCCTGGCGGTGTGTGGTAAGACTGGGCACCATCCCTCCCACCCACCCCGACCCCCACGGCATGGTCCCCTCCTGCCCTTCCTACAGGGTGCTCCCCACCCCCCAGACTCAGGCCCCTCCCCCTCCCACTACCAGGCCTCCCTGGAGGGCCAACCCCTCCAGGGGGTGCACGGGTGCCCCTGCGGGACCCCAGGGCAGATCCTTCCCAGGCCCCTGCCCAGCACCCCGTCCCTGTCCCCATCCGTCTCCAGGCAGCTGGGGTCTCAACGAGGAGGAGCGGCTGATCCAGCACCTGTTCAAGGAGAAGGGCTACGACAAGGAGGTCCGGCCGGTGGCTCGCCCGGAGGACAGCGTGAAGATCACGCTGGGCCTCACCCTCTCCAACCTCATCTCCCTGGTGAGCGGCCCCTCCGGGGCTGGCTGGGCTGGGAACCGGCAGCGGGCACAGCTTCCTCAGGCCTGGCTCGCTCCCAGACTGGGGTGGCCATGGAGGAAATTCAAGGCCCCGGGGCTGGCCTATGGCAGCTCGTCTCTCCACACCCTGTGCCACCCACAGGCCCTCAGCCTGCTGCCCCGCCCCTGCAGCTGCCACTCTGGGGTGCCCCACCCCCACATCCCACTTCAGAGGCCACAGGTCCTCCCTGCCCCCTGAACTGCCCACCCACTCCTGCGTGCTTGAGCCAGCTGCCATGGTTTCCGTGGGAGGGGGTGGTGGCAGCCGGAGGAGGAGCCTGGGGAAGCCTGCAGGTGAGAGAATGACCCCTGGGGACCCTCCTGTCTGATCACAGAAGGAAGTCGAGGAGACCCTCACCACGAACGTGTGGATCGAGCACGTAAGGAGAGCACCCCACTCAGAGCTGGGGGGTGGGGTGCAGTGAGGCTGCAGGGCCTCGACTCCCCGGTGCCCGCTTCTGCTTGGGGACCTCCAGCCTGCCCGAGACTCGGTCCGGCTCCTGCCGGCAGAGAAACCGCAGCCCAGGGCCCTTCCCCCCACCTAGGGGGGCCCCCAGCCCAGGCAGAGCCTCGGGGTGGGTGAGGATTCTTCAGCGGCGGGAAGGTTGTCACAGCATCCTGATCTTGTCAGAGGACACCCTCTGTCACCTGTCAGAAGTTCTTAACGGAGACACGTCTTCCGTGTCCACCATGGAAATGAGGTGCCCCTAGGCACTGTGCGGTGCGCACCCCACACAGCCACACCTGACCGACCTGAGCCCTCCCTCTCCACCCGCCTCCCCGACCCCTGGGGCCGCAGCCCTGGCCCCTGCCCTGTCTCCCTCAGGGAAGTCACGGGGAGCAGGAGGGCGGCAGAACCCCCTGCTGACCTTCCCGTCGTCGTCGGCCTCCAGGGCTGGACGGACAGCCGGCTGCAGTGGGACGCCGAGGCCTTCGGGAACATCAGCGTGCTGCGCCTGCCCCCGCACTTGCTGTGGCTCCCGGAGATCGTGCTGGAGAACAAGTTGGGCGCCGCCCCCCTCCCCCCGCTCCGCCCTCCCCCCACCCCGCCCCCTCCCCACTCGGCCCCCTCCAGCCCAGGCTTCCGGCTGCCCTCGCTTCTCGGCTTTCCCCAGCCCTGCCTGCCAGCGTGAAGCTGGCCCTTGCTCACGGTGGCCCTTGTCCCCGTCCCCCAGCAACGACGGCTCCTTCGAGATCTCCTACTCCTGCAACACTCTGATCCACCCTTCGGGCTCCGTGTACTGGCTGCCACCCGCCATCTTCCGCTCCTCCTGCCCCATCTCCGTCACTTACTTCCCCTTCGACTGGCAGAACTGCTCCCTCAAGTTCAGGTGCACCCACTGCTCCAGCCGCCCCTCCCCCGGGGGCCCTCTGCCAGGGGCCACCTTCGGGCAGAGGCTCCCGCTCTGCCCCGTCAGAGCTCCCCTCCCCCGCAGCAGCCCCCCTGACCGTGGGGCCTTTCCCATCGGTGGCCCCAGCCAGTGGCTGAGGACCACCCTCCGCCCACTGCCCTCCCCAGCTCCCTCAAGTACACGGCCAAGGAGATCACCCTGAGCCTGAAGGAGGAAGAGGAAGAAGACGGCCGCTCGTACCCCGTGGAGTGGATCATCATCGACCCGGAGGGCTTCACAGGTGCTGGCGGCGGCAGCAGGAGGGGGGGCAGGTGGTGGCCAGGCCCCTCAGGACCTCGCCCAGGGACACACACAGGGTCACGCTGCCTCCCCTGCACACTCACACCTTCACACTTACGGACGGGTGCTAACCTGGCACGTGGAAAGGAAAAGAAGCCCGACTGGGGGGGGGGGACTGTGTCCCAGAGGCAGAGACAGAGGGGCACTGTGCCCGCCCCCACTTCCGCCCAGGCTGGAAGACCCTCTGGGTCTGAGCAGGGTCCCCGGGCCGGGTGGGGCTGGGGCTTCCGCTGTCATCCTGATCGTGTGCACGTCACCGCCCGCCCCGAGTTGGTGACCAGGCTCAGACCCTTCACGGCCCCCCCTGCCCCCCGTCCATCAGAGGAGACCCGCGTCCTGCTGACCCACCACAGGCTGGGGGAGGGGTTCTTATTCTCCCGCCCGTTGTCCCCAAGACCCCTTGTTTGAGCCGCCTGTGGCCTCTGCTTTTGTTTTCCCCAAGGAGAAAAAAGCCTAGAGGAACATTTCTCCCTCGCAGACGGTCACCTGCATCCCCACCCCAGGAAAAGACCCACAGATAGAACCCGAACCCTCCTCTGAGCGGCACCCCCCTCCCCCGCCCAGGGCCCTGCAGGCAGGCCCACTCCGCCAGCCCCTCCCCCTGCCCCGAGGCCCCCCGCGGCCCCCTTGCCCGGCCTGACCCCGGGGCGTCCGTGTGCCGCCCTCAGAGAACGGGGAGTGGGAGATCGTGCACCGGCCAGCCAGGGTCAACGTGGACCCCAGCACCCCGCCGGACAGTCCCGGCCACCAGGATGTCACCTTCTACCTCATCATCCGCCGCAAGCCCCTCTTCTACATCATCAACATCCTGGTGCCCTGCGTGCTCATCTCCTTCATGATCAACCTGGTCTTCTACCTGCCGGCCGACTGTGAGCCCCCGCGCCCGGCCCCTGCTGCCCGGGCAGCCTCTCCCGTCCTCAGGGTCACCAGAGCACTGCCCCCCCCCACCCTGCCCAGACTCTCACCTCCTCCTGGGGGCCACCTGGGGGTGACCACCACCCAGGCTCCAGGCATGAGGCCGTGTGGCCAGCTGGGGGGAGGACTCTTTGGCCCTGGCCCACATCCCCCAAGTGGACAGGGCCAAGGGCCCTAGACTGGCTCTCTGCCAGGGCAGAAGTCAGGCCCGTCGTGGTCGCCAGGTGTGACCATGGGCCTGGCACGCAGGGGTTGTCAACAGTTAAGGGCGGGTCAGGGGTGGGGACGGCCCCTCCGGGAAACCAGGCCGTAGAGACAGGCACCCACACTCCCCTGGTTCTGGAAGGGCATGCGACATGCCAGCTCACCTGGCTGCAGAATATTTGCCTCGAGCGGGGCACAGCGAGTCCCAGAGACTGGGGCCACCCAGCCCGGCCCCTAGTATGGAGAGGCACACTACACATGGGTAGAGGGTGCTGGGGCAGAGCCGCCGGCGGCCACCACATTTGCTCAGGAGTTCGGTGGAGGGGTGGGGCTGGAAGAGCAGGGCACCCAGAGCCAGGAGGAGTGGCCAGCAGGTACCACACCCTCTCACCTGGTCCTCACAACATGTAACCATTGAGAGACCCGAGGCGCCGAGAGGTGAGGTTACAGCCCAGGGGCCCCAGCCCTCCAGGAAGTGTCAGGGCTGGGATTTGAACCCAGTCACTTCTCGCCATAGCCTGTTGTGTTAAAGAGGGCACCGTGGCATTTTGAACGGGGGTGCAGGGTGCCCAGCAGAGGTCCCAGCTAAGCCCAGGCTCTCCCAGGTGGCGAGAAGACGTCGGTGGCGATCTCGGTGCTCCTGGCGCAGTCTGTCTTCCTGCTGCTCATCTCCAAGCGGCTGCCCCCCACGTCCATTGCCATCCCCCTCATCGGCAAGTAAGGGCCTCCTTCCCCCTACTCCACCCCGGCCCGGCCCCGCCCCGCCCCGCCCGGCCGCCCCCTGGAGGCTGCAGGCAGAATGTGCGCCTGCAGGTTCCTGCTCTTCGGCATGGTGCTGGTGACCATAGTGGTCATAGTCTGCGTCGTCGTGCTCAACATCCACTTCCGCACCCCCAGCACCCACGTGCTGTCCGAGGGCGTCAAGAAGGTGAGGACTGTCCTGGTCCAAGGCTGGAGACTGTCCACAGGCGCCCCTGGAGGAGTCTGGGTAAAAACACCGCGTGATGTCACGCGGGGGAGTGCCCCTGCGCCTCGCCAACACACCGACGGCTGCTACACGCCCGCCCGCGACCACGAGTCTGCCAAGGGCAGCGTTGTGGGAAGGGAGCCCCACGCAAAAGAGCACAGACTGTGCGGTTTCCTTTGTCTGAAGTTCAAGGGCAGGCAAAACCAGTCATTAATGATGGAAGTCAGGGCGCCGGTTACCTCTGGGGGTCAGAAGGGCTTGATGCGGGAGGCGTGAGGGGGCCTTTTGGGGGCGGTTTCCCTAGCCCAGCTGGGCGGCGTTCGCACGGCTGAGGGCACCTGTGAAACTGCTGCTCCGCAGCAGCCAGGGACAGAGTCCCAGGTGTTCGCGTGTGTGTGAAGGCAACCCGCGTTGGCTCAGTGGCCTTCCCGTGTCCCCCTCGGCCTGCCACAGCTCTTCCTAGAGACCCTGCCCAGGTTCCTGCACATGACCCTCCCGGAGGAGGGCGCGCCCGGCCCTGGGGCCCTGGTGCGGCGGAGCAGCTCGCTGGGCTACATCTCCAAGGCCGAGGAGTACTTCTCGCTCAAGTCCCGCAGCGACCTCATGTTCGAGAAGCAGTCCGAGCGGCACGGGCTGGCCCGGCGCCTCACCACAGCCCGTGGGTGCCCAGAGGCTTGGGGTGCGGGCTGGCCGTGGGAGGCGGGGCGGCGGTGGGGCGACGGCGGGCCTTGCGCCCACCTCTGGCCCGTGTCCGCAGGCCGGCCCCCCGCGGGCTCCGAGCAGGCCCAGCAGGAGCTGCTCAGTGAGCTGAGGCCGGTTGTGGAGGGGGCCAACTTCATCGTGGGCCACGTGAGGGACCAGAACAACTACAGCGAGGTGAGTGGTCTCAGGGCTGCCGCGTACAGGGGCCCCCATAGTGACCGATCTAGTGCATTCCATCTTCAGGGGACACAGTTCCCCTCGGGGACACGCGCCAATCTAGATAAAGGGGTTCCCAGGGGGGGCAGAATCCGGCCCCCCACAGCCGGGGAGCCCCTGCCGAGAGCCCAGAGCAGGACACGGGGCCGGGCGCACGCTCGGGGGCACCCACAGACACGCAACCTCTCGGGTCCCTTCTGGGCAGCCCTCGGGTCCCTTCTCCCTCCCGACGGCCAGTCATTTCCTGCCCCTGCTCACCCTCCAAGTCGGGGACCCCGGGCACAGCCAGGCCTTGCAGCCAGACATTTAAAAAGTAGCCTCATAGGACTGTTTGATGCTACACAACTTTCTGAAATTTTCTCTGAAGGAAAGGGTGCCTTTTTCCAGTTCACCCAGGAGGAGGGCCTGGGCCCTTGCTGGGGACAGGCAGCGTGTCCCCTGCGCCGTAAGCCTGAGGTGGCCCCTGCAGACACACCAAGGCCGTGCCTATCCCTGGGCCCCGGCTTGGGGCACGAGCCCGTGGCCTGCGGGCCCTCCTCACCCCACCGCCTCGGCCTCTGTGCCCTCCGCAGGAGAAGGACTGCTGGAACCGGGTGGCCCGCACGGTGGACCGGCTCTGCCTGTTCGTGGTGACGCCCATCATGGTGGTGGGCACGGCCTGGATCTTCCTGCAGGGCGCCTACAACACCCCCCCAGCGCAGCCCTTCCCGGGGGACCCCTTCTCCTACCAGGAGCAGGACAGGCGCTTCATCTAGAGCACGTTGCCTGGCCCAGCCCGGCCCGGCCCCAGGGCAGCTCTGGTGGGGCTTTTGGCCTGAAGGGGGTGGGCCTCCAGGGGTGGTAGGGGTGCCTAAGGAGGGGCAAGCTCTTCTAGGGAGGTGCCCCCGGCCCTGAGACGTGAGCCCCTTCGGTCCTGCAAGGCCGGCGTGAGACGCGCTGCTGAGACGGAGAAGGGGAGGGGGAAGGCCCGGTCCTCTGTGAATGAAGGCAGTGGCCAGCAGAAGTCTGAGAGTGGGCACCCGCTGGCGGCTGGGGCGGGCAGGAGTCTCGTCCAGGGCCACTCAGGCTGGCCTTTGGGGGCCTGTCTGGGAGAAAGACAGAGGCTTCTTCTCGCTCCCCTCGCCCACGTTGGGGGCAGAGCTGGTGGGCCCTGTGCCCTCCCTTCCAGGCTCCTCCAGCTTCCCTGCTCCCGTCTGCCCTGCAGCCTCTGGCTTCCGAGGCCCCGCCCGGAGACCGGGTTGGGGGCGCCCCCCTCTCCAGACCCTGTAGGAAAGCCGGTTTGGGGCAGGAGCTGCAAAACGGCCTCTCTGGCTGGGTCCCTGTGGGAAGCTCGCCGCTGGGGTCCGGGGGGGGGGGGTTGGCCCAGCAGCCACCAAGGCCAAAGGTCAGCCTAGAGCCTCAGGACTCAGCCCCCGCCGCCCCCGCCCACCAGGGGTGTCCCCTCTTTGTCACCCATTCTTCCTCTCCAAAGTAGGGTTGCCGGGCAAAATTCGGGACTACTTACACTAAAAAATGTGTTCGTATTCGTCCGAAATTCAAACTTAACCGGGCATTTCATGAATTTATTTGCCAAAACTAGCCACTCTACCCCAAAGGGAACTCCCGCCAGTCTTAGCCCAAGGGCCAAGGGCTGAGGCTGGAAGAGCTGGGAGATGAGGCCATGAGAGGTCGCCCGCCTGCAGGGCGACCCCAGGGGTCCCGGCCTCCTGGGCCACATCCCTGGGAGGTGCCCTGTGCACCCGCACCAACCGGGGTGGGTCTGTGTGACCACAGAACGAGGCAGGGGTGACAGTGTGTCACTTCCGAGGTCTGGTTGCAGAAGACACGGCGGCACCCCCTTCTCACTTTCCCTCGGGGCAGCCGGCAGGCAAGATGCGCGCCTGGTGGAGCGGCTCCTGCTGGCAGCCCTGGGAGTGAGCTGGGAGGTGGGCCCTCCAGCGCCCCGCCCCGCCCCTGTCCGCGTCCCCGCCCCCACGGACCTTCCCTTCGGAGGAGATCGCAGCCCCGCGGCCGCCCCCACCCCTCCAGCTGCTGCCACCCCGCTGAGGTGCTCCTGGGCTCCTGGCGCCCACAGACCGTGGGAGATAATAAATGTTTGTTGCTTCCTGAGACAAAGTGTTGAGCAGTTTGATGCCGCGTGACCTTGGACAAGCCGCGCCTCATCTCCCAGCTTCAGTTTTCTCATCTGCAACATGTGCGCCAGCAGGCCCCTCCGGCGGGGCGTTGTGAAAATCGAACTCGCTAGAAAGTGTGAGGGCGCTTACACGTGTCCTTTATCTCATTCCTCGTGGAGACAGATGACCCCTTACACAGGTGGGGCCCTCACGAGGGCCTCCTGCCTCCGGACCCTGCACAGTGCCCTGCACCGCGGCTGAGAGGGCTGGAGCGGGCGTAGGTGCTCACCGCCCGGGCCCAGGCCGACGGCCTCACAGCTCACCGGCTCCCCCTAGAGGGCGTCCCTAGCTCAGGAGTGCAGCCACACAGAAGGTGTCATACAGAAGGTGACATGCTGGGTCTTTCAAGGGAACTGAGGGGAAAGAACAAAACTGACCCTACTCACTTCTGCCTTCCAGTATGAATCATCTGTAAGTTCGAGGTACGCATCTTTCCAAAAAGATTGTGTTTATTTACTTAGAGAAGGGGGAGAAAAACAGCCACGCAGGCCTGTGCCCGGACTGGGAGTCGAACCAGTGACCTTTTGGTTGGCAGGTTGGTACACCATCCACGGAGCCACACCAGCCAGAGATTAAGGGATACATTGTTTGTATGTCTTCCCTTTGAATAGGAAAAGTAGCTGGCACTTGTCAGGGGATCAGGAAGGCCCCGCCTTCCTCGGAATCTTCCAACGCCATCCCCTGTGGTCACTTCTCTCTGCCACGTGATGGCGCTGTTGGCAGGTGAATCCTCAGTTGCGTTAGGCCCAGCGCCAGTAGCTTCCTTGCGGAAGAGACAACCCCAGATGCCGCACCCAGCCGAAAGTACTGGTTGTGCAGGTTCCCAGAGTCACAGCGGGCCCCCCAGCAGCGCCCACTGCCCCGGCACTCCAGCTCCAGGGTGCCGTGGGGACAGTCCGCTCTCTGGGGGACATGGAACTCTCTCATCTTCCCTCCATAGGAAGTCACAGTCACAGTGGCCAGCTCCCCAGGAAGCCGGGGCTGTCCCTGCACAAGTAAGCTTTCCTCTTTCTCACGTAATGAGGATCGCAGGGCAGGGTGGTGGTGGCGACACTGATCGCTTCAGCTGTCCCACAGAGCTATTAGGGACCCAGGCTTGCCGCCCCTGGTGGCAGGCTGGCTGCCACAGCTCCGCTCTGCACACCCTGTTTGGGGCAGGAAAGGGGCCAGCCATGTCTGACCCCTTCCATCAGGGAGCCCCTGAGCCGCCTTCTGCAGACACAGCATCATCCATCCAGGCGTTCGCCCATGGCCAGTCCTGTCTGCAAGGGAGCCTGGGAAATGAGCGTTTTGCTTCTCCAGCCTCTAGAGGGTGCTGGTGGGGGACTTGTTAGACAAGAAGTGATGCCTATGGGAGATTTTCTCTTGATGGGTCCCGTACCTCCTCCTTCGCCTCTCCGGGTGGAAACGCCACTCCTCAGAGGCCGTGCCCCCGCCTGAGAACCAAGGAGACGCTTCAGCCTCCCTCCCTGAGCAGAGGGAAGGGGGAACACAGGAGTTTGAATCTTCATACCGAGGGAGGCGGCATGATTCAAACCAGAGGGCAGTCCGTTTCCAGCATCTCCCTTTCCCCTCCTGCCCAGACACGTGCGGGGAAGGAGAAAGGCAGAGTCGGGAGTGTTGGAGCATTGGCTGGGCCGCCTATGCCTGGGATGGTGCTGGGGGATGGGGTAGGGAGCCCGTTACTGAGCAGAAGCCATTTATGATCTTTGACAAAGCGTGGTTTTATTTATTTATTTGTTTGTTTGTTTGTTTATTTATTTTTAGAAAGGGAAGGGAGGGAGATAGAGAGAGAGAGAGAGAAACATCGATGTATGGTTGGTGGGGGTCATGACCTGCAACCCAGGCATGTACCCTGACTGGGAATCGAACCTGTGACACTTTGGTTCTCAGCCCGCACTCAATCCACTGAGCTACGCCAGCCAGGGCCTAAGTGTGGTTTTAGAAGGGAGTGGAGAGGGGGAGAGAGATTGCTCTGCAACATGGGTGAGGGAGCGGGGCCTGGGGGGCACCAGAGGGCAGAGTGGGGAGAAGGGGCCATTGGCCTTGGAAACTCCAGAGAAAGTGGCCTGGATACACGGAGAGATCAAGCTTGGGGGTGGGGGGGGTGTCGGGGAAATCTGGGCGTGGGGCCCAGGGGACCGAATGCAAGAAGGGCAGACGAGCCACCCACAGCACAGGGAACGCAGATGCCAGGGAGGCCGTGCCACCCCCACCTCCTGCCCCCCCACTCCAAGTCCTGGTGAGGGCAGGAGGAGCGCGTGGCCCCCCCTGCAAAGGGTTGGGGTCATTGGGATCCACAGGGACAGGGCACGTCCGCTGACTTCCGGGTTACTGAAACACAGGGAAATGCCGCAGGCGTGGTTCATCCGTGGGGCGGGGCACGGGTTCTCGAACGGTGTTCTCTCCCAGACCTCAGAGGCACCTGCCTCCCTGTCCCCAGGGTGCAGAAGGGTGGGGGGGGCATGAATGGGAACCTGTGTTTTCCATCTCACCCGTGAACTGGGACACGCTGACCTGTCTGCTTGGAATGGACGGTCAGTGGACGACAGGTGGCCTGAGCCTGTGGTCATGGCCATCGACTCCCAGATCAGCCTCAGCCCCGCCCTGCCCCTGACCACATCCGACTCTCAGGGGGCCACAACTTCGATCTTGTCTACCTGCCCCGCTAGACTGTGGGTTCCTGCAACCAGCTCAGGCGTATTCTGGGTTCCCCCAGCCGAGCGCTGTGCCTGCCATATGCTAGGGACTCCCTAAGTCTATGGGGGACCAGTAACTACTGAGGCCTCATGGAGGAGCCCCTCTTCAGGGGCTGTGCTATTCACAATAGCCCCAGGTTCTAGATCTTTCTCGGCTCTCCTTCCTAAAAGCTTACCAGGCTGGGACCCAGGCCTCAGAGGCAGGGAGGATCCTGACCTGGCACCCTAATTTGTGTTAAGGTGTCACAGCCTGCGGGACATGACGCCACTTTCTTGTGGGCATATTTTATCTGCCGCTGGTGTCTTGGCCCAGTGGAGTGACCCATGGAGTTGTCAGGCTGGTGGAAGAGGTTTGGGGTCCTCGACCACATCCTAGAGAAACTCAGGTACAAAACACACCTAGCCAAAAGCCTTCCCACCACCCCAAATCCGGACACGCTGGAGGGAGCAGGCGGAGGGAGCCTGCCTGAGCAAGCACTCCGCCTTCTCTGTCATCCCCACGCGGCCCTGGCTGCCTCCTCGGCTCCACAGCTGGACCACGAGTCGGGGACAGCTGAGTCTGAGTGGGGATGGAGGCTGGACCATCTCTGCTGGGGCCGCTGGGGCCCCTCTGTCCCCTCCCCAGCCCAGGTAACCTGAGCCCGGCGTTTTGTCCACCCTGGAGCAGCTGACGGCGTTGTGGTCGGACAGCTGGCGGGGCTGGGCCAGCCCGGCTGGGGTGGGAGCGTGGGCTGCTACACGAGACCCAGAGTCTGTGTCTCTTGGCCTCAGACCCGGGGAGCTGCCGTCCCACCCCTGGCACCGCGGAGAGCTGGGCACCATGCACGGGGCTCAGGGGCTGCTGTTCCTCCTGCTGCTGCTGGCTGTCTGCCTGGGTGTGGACCCAGGGGCCTGGGGGCCTGGGGGAGACCAGAGCTGGGGGCCAAGGCCTCAGGAGGCAGAGGGACTGGAGGGCTACTGGAGCCTGCCCCCCACCCCAGCTCCCTGTCTTCCCATGTCACCTCTGCCCACAGCCTCCCCCTTTGTCTGCCCCAGGGCCCCGCACCCTGGCTCACTGCTGTCTGTTGCAGGAGCCCAGGGCCGGAACCAGGAGGAGCGGCTGCTGGCGGACTTGATGCGCAGCTACAACCCCCACCTGCGGCCCGCCGAGCGTGACACGGACGTGGTCAATGTCAGCCTGAAGCTCACCCTCACCAACCTCATCTCCCTGGTGAGCCGCAGGCCTGCGGGCTGACGAGGGAGGGAGGGAGGGAGGGAGGGAGGGAGGGAGGGCCGGGGCACTGGGCCTTGGGCCCTGCTGGGGAGAGGAAGGGGCTGCTCCAGCAGCCAGGAGGGGCGGGGAGAAGGCCCTAGCGGGGAGAGAGAGGCCAGGATGCCGGAACCGCCCTCAGGGGCTGCTAGGGGGGCAGGGGTCCTCTGGGACCCCACTGTGGCCTGTAGGGGCTAACATCTGGGGAGGCAAGTGATGGGGGCTTACACTCGGGTCTGCACCCCCAGAATGAGCGTGAGGAGGCCCTCACCACCAATGTTTGGATAGAGATGGTAAGAGATCACCCTGACACCCTCTTCCCCTCTGTCAGTCCCCCCGACATGGGCCCCAGGTCCTCGGAGCTGCCTGTAACCCTGCTCCCTGCCCCTTCTGTGCCCCGCCCCCCCACACCCCCTGCCCCGCTGGGCTCCCGTTCCCCGGATGTGGCACAACGGAGAGTGGGGGGGCCTGGCGACGCCCCTCTCCCCGCAGCAGTGGTGCGACTATCGCCTTCGCTGGGACCCACAAGACTACGAGGGCCTGTGGGTGCTGAGGGTGCCGTCCACCATGGTATGGCGGCCGGACGTCGTGCTGGAGAACAAGTGAGAGGGGCGCGGGCAGGGTGGGAGGACGAAAGGACGCCAGGGCAGGCCTAGCAGGATGGGGGCATCTGAGAAAAGAAGGGTGTGGACTGAGGGTGTGGACGGGGGTCCGCCGGGGGCGTGGACTACCAGGCAGGGCGGGCGGGCGGGCGCTGAGGGCCGGCCCAGGGCCACCCGGGTGATCACAGGCCTGGCCAAGGGCCGTGGGCTGTGGACCGGGGCGCCTGCGTGGGCACCGCCTCCTCCACCTGGGGGTGAGGGCAGCCCCTGCGGAAGCCGTGAGGAGTCGAGGGTCAGCACGACATGAAAAACTCTGCACTTGGCCCGGCCCTTGGAGAGACGTGAACAGATGACAGTGGCCATTCTGAAGGGAGCCGGGGTTGCAGCAGGGTCGCAGTGGGGTCACAGCGGGGTCGTAGTGGGGCTTAGGAGATGGCCGGGGGAGCCTGGCAGGGTGGCCGAGGCAGGGCGGTGCAGGGGAAGGCGGTGGGTCATGCGGCCTGGCAGGGTGGGGGGGGTGGTGCGTGGCCCCTGGGAGGGGTTGCTGTCCCCGGGCCCCCGTCCAGGCAGGGCGGGGGGCTGGTGCCGGTGCGGTCCCGGCAGCCGCATGGCCTGTCCTGTCCGCAGCGTGGACGGCGTGTTCGAGGTGGCCCTCTACTGCAACGTGCTCGTGTCTCCCGATGGCTGCGTCTACTGGCTGCCGCCCGCCATCTTCCGCTCCTCCTGCCCCGTCTCCGTCACCTACTTCCCCTTCGACTGGCAGAACTGCTCCCTCATCTTCCAGTGAGGGCGTGTACTTGCGGCGAGGGGGTCGGAGGGGGCTGCCCTAAGAGGGGCCCTGGCGGGGTAGGGGACGTGAGGCTTCTGTGCCCACCTCAGGTCCAGACACTCGGAGTCACCCAAGTCCCTCCCTGCGAAGCCCCTGTCCCCTCACTCCTCCTCCTTCTCTGCCTCAGTTTCCCTGCCTGTGCCCCACGGGGAGAAAAGAATGGGTTGGGGGTGAGCGGGCATACACATGCCACAGCATACGTGGCACACACACGTGTGCCCGGAAACACATGAGGCCACCCCCCCTAGAGCCCAGTGGAGAGGCCGGGCTGCCTGTCTCCTCATCCATCAGTGTGGAAGGGGTCTGGGCGCGGGTCTTCTCGAGTCTAGAGGAGCCGCCTTCCTGCAGGGAGACCTTGCAGGAAGCCATCCTCAGCAAACAGGCCTGAATGGTGCAGACAGGGTTTGCTCTGCGCTGACCTCTGGCCCCTCCTGCCCGGGAGGCGGCAGCGAAAGAGCAGAGCACGGTGACCCCAGGCCCTCGGACAGCAGGGGACCGCACTGAGCCGCAGTCTCCTGGCCCTGCAGTTTAAACTTCCTCGGGGGCCCATAGAACCCCAGCCCCCTCATCTCGCCGCCAGGGTTTCGTGGAGAACTGGGAATTATTGGCTGTACTTTTTAAGGCAAAACTGCCGGCAGCGCCCCCCCCCACCCCCGTGACTCTACCGTGCACCGCACGGGTGGGTCTGGGCGCATGCATCCTCTCCCTGTCCCGTCCCCAGGTCCCAGACCTACAGCACCAACGAGATCAGCCTGCAGCTGAGCCAGGAGGACGGGCAGACCATCGAGTGGATTTTCATCGACCCCGAGGCCTTCACAGGTAGCCCCACCCCGGGCCCCTGCTGGACCTGGCTGTGGGGACCAGGCTAGACCAGGGTCACGCCACCTCCCACGCAACTCAAAATGAAACTAAGCAAACCACACAATGGGCTTTTTAACCGCCCTGCAAACCCCTGACTCCCCATGAGGACGACCCCCATTTTGGAGGGCGGGGGATCGAGTGTCCCAGGTCCCTTGCTGTCCCTGTCCCTCGACGGCTGTTCCTCGGGCACTCGTGGGCTGCAGGGGTCTGCCCAGGACCCCCACCCCCGTGCCCACCTGGCCTGCCGCCCACAGAGAACGGGGAGTGGGCCATCCGGCACCGGCCGGCCAAGATGCTGCTGGACGCCGCAGCCCCGGCGGCGGAGGCTGGCCACCAGAAGGTGGCCTTCTACCTGCTCATCCAGCGCAAGCCCCTCTTCTACGTCATCAACATCATCGCGCCCTGCGTGCTCATCTCCTCCGTCGCCATCCTCATCTACTTCCTTCCGGCCAAGGGTACCCGCCCCTGTGGGAGGGGAGCCATCGGCCCCGGCCAGGAGCACGGGGGACAGCCGGCAGGGCAGCGCGGGCCGGGGGGCAGTGGGCTCCTTGTGGGGGGAGGGGCCCCACAGCAGGGAGATGGAGACCCGCTCTGAGGGCCTCTGGGTCCCGCAGCGGGCGGCCAGAAGTGCACTGTCGCCATCAACGTGCTCCTGGCCCAGACTGTCTTCCTCTTCCTCGTGGCGAAGAAGGTGCCCGAGACCTCCCAGGCTGTGCCCCTCATCAGCAAGTAAGGCCGGTCCTCGGGTCTGCTGCCCCCACCTCCTCCCCCACCCTGTCAGCACTGCCCTCCCACCAGCCACGCCCCCCTCCAAAGCCAGCCTCTCACCCATGGGACCTGGGTGGGGGCGAGGGGGTACAAGAGAGTTGCCAAGGGAAGGGTTGGCATCTGGGGATGCCCTGCTGAAGGGCTGGCCCCGCCTCCTGCTCCCCCCCCCCAGGTACTTGACCTTCCTCCTGGTGGTGACCATCCTCATTGTCGTGAACGCTGTGGTCGTGCTCAACGTGTCCTTGCGGTCCCCCCACACACACTCCATGGCCCGCGGGGTCCGCAAGGCAAGGCCCCTCCCTGCCCGTCCCAGCACCCACCCCCCGTCCACTGACACGCCCTTTCCTCAGCACCCCGTCCCTGTGCCCACACCTCCGGTGCCGTGTGCAGCAGCAGACCTGCCCCGTGTGTGTCTTGAAGCACGTGCCCAGATGAGTTAGTGACGCCGAGTGCTTACCAAGCGGCAGGCACATGACACACACTGGCTTATTTAATCGTCATAAAACCCCTCGGCCATGGGTATTAGTGCCATCTCCACTTTTTAAATAAATATTTTTATTTACTTGTTTTTAGAGAGAGGGGAAGGGAGGGAGAAAGAGAGGGAGAGAAACATCAATGTGTGGTTGCTTCAAACGTGGCCCCCACTGGGGACCCGGCCCGCAACCCAGGCACGTGCCCCGACTGGGAATTGAACTGGCGACCCTTTGGTTCACAAGCCAGTGCTCAGTCCACTGAGCCACACCAGCCAGGGCTCATCTCCACTTTTTAGATGACGAAATGAAGCTCAGAGGGGTTACATAGGTCACCTGAGGTCGAACAGGTAGAAAATGGAGGAGGCAGTCTGGCTCCAGGGCCTGCGTAACCTGCAACCCACCTGCAGCCCTCAGCTGAAGCCCTAGTCACAAATGCAGGTTCCCAGGACCCCCACCACACCCTTGGCCAGAGTAGCCAGGTGGGGCCCAGGGACCTGTGTCTGGAACCTGGTGCTTCCCATGTGCACGGAGCTGCGGACACCGGCCCCGGTGCCTGGCACAGAACACCCAGGCTGCACGGGGCCAAGTGCCCGCCCCCACTGCGCTGCCTCCAGACCGTCCCTCCGCAGGTGTTCCTGCGGCTGCTGCCCCAGCTGCTGCGGATGCACGTGCGCCCGCCGGCGCCTGCGCTGGACTCCCGGCCCCGGCTGCAGAATGGCTCCTCCTCGGGGTGGTCAGTGTCGGGCGGGGAAGAGGCGGCCCTCTGCCTGCCCCGCAGTGAGCTCCTCTTCCGGCAACAGCGGCGCAACGGGCTGGTGCGGGCAGCGCTGGAGAGACTAGGTGAGGCGGACAGTGTGACACTGGGGGTGCTCCTCCTGGGGACCCCAGGCAGGGAGGGCTGTCTCTTGGCCAGAGAACCAGGCACCGTGGAGGAGTGTTGGGCAAATGTCCGGGCTGGGGACTTGGGTCCCTCAGGACAGGCCACCTCCTCCCCATCCTGACCTTCTCGTCTCCTCAGAGAAAGGCCCGGAGCCAGGGCAGAGCCAGGACCTGTGCGGCAGCCTGAAGCAGGCCGCCCCGGCCATCCGGGCCTGTGTGGACGCCTGCAACTTCGTCGCCCGCGCCCGACGCCAGCAGAGGCACTTTGCCAGTGTAAGCCCTCCCGGGGGTGGGGCGGCCGTGAGCACGCGGTGAGGGGCTGGGCCCTGGCGTGTGGGGGCAGGATGGAAGGGGCGACCGTGGAAGGGCGACGGGAGGGGAAAAGTCGACTTGGGAGCGGGGAACACGGGGGACATCGGGGCCAGGGGACCCTGGAAGAAGCCAGGTCGAGGGCTGGAAGTGGGTGAGAAAGGCCCGAGGAAGTGGAGAATGGAGACCTGCTGGAAGGCTGAGGGGGGTCCTGGGACTCGGGGCGGGCTCTGTGTCCCTGCTGGCTGTCCCACACCCCCCGCCCCCGCCCTCAGGGGAGCGAGGAGTGGCTCCTGGTGGGCCGCGTGCTGGACCGCGTCTGCTTCCTGGCCATGCTCTCGCTCTTCGTCTGCGGCACCGCCGGCATCTTCCTCATGGCGCACTCCCACCGGGTGCCTGCTCTGCCATTCCCTGGGGACCCTCGCCCCTACCTGCCCTCGCCCGACTGAGCCGGCCAACGGCTGTTAGCCGTGCAGAGTCTTGGCAGCTGCGTTCTTCCGCCGAGCTCTCGAGTGTGCTCTTTGGGAAGCAGCCTTCAGGGCCGTGGAAGCCCAACAGCCCTGAGAAAAGCTGGAGAAATAAAGAGACGGAGCTGGAGTCTCGGAGTGTGGTTGGGGTGGGCTGTGGGCAAGGCGTGCCGTGGGGTCAGCCTCCGGGTGCCAGTGGCTCGCTCCCCCTGGCACTTGCCTCCCTTCAGCAGGCACTATGAACCCCCGTAATTTTTGAAGCCCTAACAACTGTTTCACAGGGTGTCCCCAACTAGGTAAGGTCCTATCCTTCCGGACCTGGGCCTCCCTTCTTTTTTATGAGTTCCCTGCAGGCTCCTGAAAGAGGACAGTCGAGAGACATGTGAAGAGTAGAAACCAGTGTTCTCTTACAAGAAGGTGGTAGCCCTGGACAGTATGGCCCAGTTGGTTGGAGCATCGTCCTGTAATCAAAAGATTGCAGGTTCGATTCCTGGTCAGGGCACACGCCCTGGTTGCAGGTTCAGTGCCCGGTCCAGGCTTGTGCGATCCCTGGTCTGGGCACGTATGGGAGCAACTAATCGATGCTCCTCTCTCACATCGATGTTTCTCTCTCTCCCTTCCTCTCTCTCTAAAAAGCAATAAAAAATAGCCTTCAGATGAGGCTAAAAAATAATAATAAATACAAACTTAAAAAAGAAGATGGCAGCCCGCTCCAGCTGCCCTCTCCCTCCTATGCCTTTGGGTGCAGTAAGCACCCAGTACTCACCTGCACCCATGATCTATCCATAAGCATTTGTGCCATTAATTACAATTTCATGAGTCTTACCATCTTTTTCCATAGTTAAGAGCTCCTCACAACATCTTGGAAAAGCAAGAGTTGCCATATCCCTATGTCTCAGATGGGCAAACTAAGGCCCAGAGTCAGGAGGGCTTCCCAGAGCACTGGCAGCTTTATGGTTTGGAGTGCAGAGTCCCCAACTCTGACCTAACCTTAGATGCTCCAGGACCCCGCAGAGCATTTGCACTGGTCCCACAGGATGCTCAGGGAAGAGCGAGGTAGGGAGGCTGGCAGGGAACAGGGAACTGCTGGGTTTTGCCTCCTGGGGGAAGATCCTGACCAGCCTCCCTGGACCCCGCTTAGGAGACAAGATGGCCAGCTGACTTCTTCCTGGAGGGAAGCAAGACTCTGCTTTGAGTACAGATGGGGCGGCAGTTCTGTGGGTGACAAGAGGGTAAATTTGGGCAAATTATTTGTGCTCCTTGAGCCTCTGTTTCCTCATCTGTAACTATGGGCACAGGTATCAGTTTGTACCTACCCTTATCACAGGATCAAAGACGTGGGTGAAGGGGATTCAAAAATTTGAAACTCCCATATGAAGACCTGACAGTGGAACATTGTTGGGGGGCGGGAAGAGGATCCCAGAAATAACCGCCTCTCCCAAGTACTGGGATACTGGCTTTGGTGCTCAATCACCAGCTGCTTCGTTTCCTTTACTCCTGTGTGTGTGTGTAGCAAAGACATAAATCCAGGAGGCAATTTGATGATGGCGGAACCAGCTCTGGTTCCTGTGTCTCTTACTAGCTCCGTCACCTGGGATAAGTCTCTCAACCTTTCTAAATGCGGAGGTTAGCTCTTGTAGCTCCCGGCCCAAGTAAAGCAATGACTAACAATAGCTACCACTTAATGTATCTAGCGCCCCAAACGGATTATCTCCTTCGATCCACATGGCAACCCGAAGAAGCAGGTACCACTGCATAGTATCGCCGGTACTAAAGCGGAAGCAACTGCTGGGAGTGTTAAGAGTGAGGATCCGTCAGCCCGCTCTGGGGACTGGAGTCGGGATCTGTACCAAGCTGAGTCCAGAGCCCGCGCCTTCGCCGTGCGCGCCTTTCTCCGAGCCTGCCTAGGGGAGGGGGGCAGCACGCGCTGCCTCGGGCGGGGAGTGATTCCTTGGAGGCGCAGGGCGGGCGCCCCGGCGGCCCGTCGGCCGCGGACTGGGACGGACCCGACGCCAGCGGCCCCCGCGGCCCCCGCGGCCCGCAAGCCCGAGCGCCTCGGCGCAGCCGCCCTGGGCGGGCGTCCCGGGATATCCGCCCCCCACCAGGCCCGCGCGCCTACGTTCCGCCGAGCCCCGCGCAACCGGAAGTGGCCGGGCCCTAGGCGGAGGGACCGGGCGAAGCGGAAATCACTCCTGAGGCAGTGGCGACGGCGAGAGGATGAACAACAAGTTCGACGCGTGAGTGGCGTGCGGCCGCCTCCAGGGGCCCCTTCCCCCAACCGTTCCCCGCGCCCGCCCTCGTCGCGGCCGGCGGCGGCGCCAACTCCGCGGCGCTGGCCTCCGTCCCCGGCTCGGGCTGCGGGCCGGACCCGGCCCGGGCGGCCGGCTGGGAGGAGGGAGCTGGGGAAGCGGGGTGCAAGCGTCCCGGGGACCCCAGGGCAGCCCGGGCCGAGGGCGAACCGCAGGGGCCGGGAGAGGGGTGGTTGTGCCGCCCGGAAGGAGATTTGCGGACGGCCCGCCCCGGCGGGCGCGGGGTGCGCCGGCGGCGTGGAGGGCTTGGGGTGTCTCCGCAGCCTGGCCGCTTCTGAATTTCTGAAACCGGCTTCCCCACACGCTCATTCTGGCCTGCGCTGGTCACCTCTCCTCGCCGATCTGTGTTCCCACCCGCACAGTGGGGACGGTAAAGGGCCCAGGTCGTAGAGTTGTGAAGCCGCAGTGAGGTAATGCGGCCGGCAGCCGCTCTGCTGGACGGAGTTCTCCCCGTCTTCCTGAGACTCCTTCCTATTTCCTTTCTCCTCCCCCTCCTTTTCCCTTCCGACACACTCCGGGCGCTGCTCGCTTCTGGCCCGGCGGGGCACTTGTCGTGGCCCCGTCCCGGACTTTCCTAGGTACCCCGAGTCCTAGTTCCAGCAACAGTTTGGAGATGCAGAAAGGGAATGCGGAGTAATCTCGCGCATTCCCCCCCAGCGATTGTTATCTCGAGGTAGATTCTGTCTTAGCTGTCTTCTAGGAGTCTAGTAAATCTGTCCGACAGCAGAAAAGTTGCCCAGTCTCTGAGCCATCGTTACCCGAGCCGCCTCCGTGCTCTGCTGTCCTGTAGGGGCGTTATAAGGGTCCCATCACGTGCAGCCTGGCTTAATGCGTAAATCGCTAGAGTGTTGTATGAATGTAAAGTGGAATGACTTAGTTCAGGTTGTGAACTACTGCTGCTCATGGGTCGTTAGGTGTTTCCCAGTGCGGTGAGCGCTGGCGTGCACATTCGGAGGTCCTGGGTCCCAGTGCTCCCGCAGCCTCCCAGCAGTCGCCTGCAGCGCCCTGCACCGACCCCTCCGCATCGCAAACCCCGCAGCGCCCAGCGCCAGACCGAAGTCCTGCCTCAGTGGAGCTGCCTGCCAGGCCTTCACCCCTTCCTCCACTAAACTGAACAAATCCAAATTCTATCTTAGGACACTTTGTGGGCCATCTGGCCCAGTCCTACCTGAATCATTTGGAGGTCTGCAGTAAGCTAACTTAGGAATGGCAATAATGGCTTCCAAGGGCAGCTGTCTAGATACTTTTCATATAGTCTTTTTTTTTTTTAATTATTTTTAGAGAGAGGTGAAGGGAAAGAGAAAGAGAGGCAGAGAAAAATCAATCTGCTGCCTCTCACGCACCCTGGACTGTGGACCTGGCCTGCAACCCAGGCATGTGCCCTGACAGGGAATCAAACCCGTGACCGTCTGGTTCGCAGACTGGCTTTCAGTCGGCTGAGCCACACCAGCCGGGGCTCATGTATAATTTCTAGTACTAACGATCCTGCAAAGGGGCTCTCGTTGCCTCCTTTCACAGGTAAGGAAAATGAGGTGCTCTGAGCCTCAGTAGCTTGCCCCCAACAGCAGGAAGGACCAAGTGGTGGGATTCAAACCCAGGTTTGTTGTTTAACCTTGCTTCAAGCACCTCTTGACAAAAATTGACCTGGGTCATTTATAATTGGTTCTAATTATTAACTATTCCTTATACAGAGCCAGAGTTTTGTAACGTCCATCTTCCAGCTATGCAGAAAAAAAAAAAAAACAGCTTTCTTTACTTTGAAATTAGCAGTTGAAGACAGCATTCCTACCCCTAGTTTTTCTGTTGTTTTAGTTTCTCATGCAGAAAGTCTGCAGTCCCACACCACTGTGACATGCTTGGCGTCTGCACCCTGCACCAGTGGTTCTTAAGGGCTCGGCTCGGTTTGCCAGGACCCTAAAAGCCCGTGCCCGGAGTTGAGTGCTGTAGTCTGATCAGGTGGGCTCCGATTGGTGAAGAACTCGAGCCTCCTCCACTGTGTGGGCTCCACTTCCGCAGGTGTAACTGCAGACCGTGATTGCATCCTGCCCCTTCGTCGGTCAGGGTGTCAGCTGCCCCTGCCATTGATCCCGTCCATGTGAAAACCCTCCGGTCCTTTCCCCTGCGCTGCAGCCCCAACACGGAGAAGCTAGGTTTTCAGGTCTAGATGCCAAACTTGATTTTGTCCCTCCGTCTTCGTTAGCTTTCGGCTCATTCCTAACTATCATCTGAACCCCTTGTTTGGCTCTCATCTTATTCTGCTGTGTATTGCGTTGATTTTAGAGATCTGTTCACTAAGCATGTATTTTTTTCTCCCAATGTCTGAGGCTAGACGTAGAAAGATGAATTAGACTAAGTTCTTACCCACAAGGAATCTGTCTAGTCAGGAAGTATGAGGACACACCTGGGCAGAAGCTTGGTGCGCTGATTAGGAGCCACTCTGTCGGGACAGCTTCAGAGAATCTAATGGGCCACCTGAGTCTAGGGAGCCCTGCTTTTTCCTTCCGGGTTGTATTTTGGCTCAAACCGAGCTTCACACTGGGAATAGGTGCAAGTAATTTGCCTTCAGCGTGGCTAAGAGGGTAGGGGGGTTGGTTAGCTCCACGCTCAAGAAATGACTGCACAAGGTGAAGGTCATTAGGGTTTCCAGTTACTGTCTTAGAAGGGGGTCGGAAAGTATGGTGCAGTTTTGTTTCTTTGCGACATAATTTTTGTTATTTTTTTCTTTTCTAGTAGTGATTAGCAGCAAAACCACTAAAAAGAAAGGACGTCCCTGCTCTGTGTGGAATAGCACAAGGAGGGAGGCTGGGTGACTGCCCCTCTTCAACCAAGACCCCGGGGAAGGGCACCCAGAGGGTATAGTGGGGGGTGGGGGGTCGGGGCTGAGGAGAGAGGGAGAGAAATGGCCTGTGTCCCTGGCATATGCCCTAAGGAGGAGAGCTGTCTCTCGCGTGAGCAGTAGAAAAACCCACGACACGTTCTCAGTCGGGAGACAAGAAAACTGGCCGTGCCAGCGGAGCCGGGACGAGCACAAGCATTTATTTGGGGCGGTCCAGGAGGGTGGGGCTCGGCCCAGCCTAGGGAGAGATTAGGGAATGTTTCCAAGAGAAAGCGGCCCTCAGTCACAGCTCTGAAGGACACTTGAAGAAGGGAAAGAGGGCTGTCCGAGAAGAGACCCCACAACGGGGGGAGGTCGGGGAGCTGCGCACAGGTTGCGCACTGCGGTCGGCGGAGCGTGCGGGACCAGGCGGGAGATGGTGTTGGCGGGCGCAAGGAGAGCTGGGCCTCCGTACCGTGCAGCACCCGAGTGCATGTCCTGCGTCAGGCCCTTGGGGACAGGCACTCGTAGTGTCTGATACTGACAGTAGGTGCTCAGCAAGTGTCCTGGCACTTGGGTGCTAGACAGGCTCCTTATGGAAAGGGAACCGAACCAACCCACGTGGCACAGGGGGAAGGGGCACAGGCACAGATCAGGTCTCCCAGCAGCCCGGGGAGGCCCGGCCAAGCCAGTGAGACAGCGGCCTTGCAGACCCAGCCGGCCTTGCCCCGGCGTTCTCTGCTGTCTGTCCCACCCCTTCCCCAGCTGGCTCCCTCGGCTCCCGCCCACTGTCTGTGTTCCTTCGTGGCTTTTCTGGTGTGGCACCCACGTGCCTGCTCCAGCTCTGGCTCTGTGTGGTGGTTCACCTTTTGGATGGAAAACTGAAAGGAATCTCCTCGTAACTTTGAACGAGGCCCTGAAGTGTAGGTGTTGGCCAGGGCAGACCGTCCTTTGGTCAGATGCCTGTCACAGTCATGTCTTGTCTGGGGGTGGGGGTGGGGACGTGAACAGCACAGTGCGTGACCACCTGTGTATATATCCTGTGGCTGGGCCTGTGAAGTGGGCGGGGCAGGGACCCCGTCACAGGGCTGGCCCAAGAATTCTGGCACTGACTGAGTGCTTGTCTACATGCTAGGCAGCAAGGGTTCACGGGCCAGAAGAGTAAAGGAACGTGCCTAACAGCAGGGTTCTGTTTCTGCGTAGAGCAACATCTGAACTGTAATCTGAGCATTTCTAGTGCTTTCCTTGAGAATTACCTAATTCCATCCGACTAGGTAGTTCTTAGGGCCAGGAAGGTGATTTCAAAGAATATCCTTGATAAGTTAATGGTCCAGTTCTAAACAGTATTCTTATCAGATCACCTTCTGTTTGTCTTTCTGTCTGAATCTAGTGAACCGTAGGTGTACCTGAAAGCTGTAGGGTGGTTTCACTGCTCCGAAAAAGGAGCACCTGAAGTGCACTTGACTGTACTTACAAGGCAAGAAGACATTCATTTCTTCTTTCAGGCATTTTCCCCCCACTTACCACTGATGCAGCATCTTCCTGTCCTAGGTGTCGGAGATACAAAGATTCAAAGACACTGCTCTAGGGGATCCCTCCGTCCAGGAAAAACGGGTGTGGGAGGCCGTGGGAGGAGTGGCGCCGGAGGCTGAGGGGCAGTGTTCGTAGCACAGACATGGGAATATAGATTGCTGTGGGGGGTGGGGGCGTTCCAATAGGCAGGAGTCAGGTTCCAGAGTATCTTACCTTTCGTTGTATTTTATCCTGCAGGGTGGGTATCAAAAGGAAAGGAACAGTTGAGAGTTTGGGGGCTTTTTAGCCTTTTTTTTTTTTTAATCCTCACCCGAGGATATGTTTATTGATTTTAGAGAGAGAGGAAGGGAGAGACAGAGACACTGACATGAGAGAGAAACATCGATTGGTTGCCTCCGGTACACACCCCAACCGGGGATCGAATCCGCAACTTAGGTACGTGCCCTGATCGGGAATCTGACCCGCAGCCTTCTGGTGTGCAGGACGGTCCTCCCAGCAACCGAGCAACCCGGTCAGAGCGACAGTGCAGTGTTGAGCGTGGGCGTTACGTGGTCAGTCTGCGTTTGGAAAGCCCGTGCTGGTGGCTGTGTGGAGGACGGACAGAGGGCAGAGGCGATCTGTGCTGGGGACTTACTGTGCTAATGGAGGTGGTGGGAAGCAGGCCGGAACTGAGGCAGGAGCAGTGGGGCCAAATAGGAGAGGAGGTTAGAGGACGTGGCAGGAAGGATAGTAAGTTTTTACGCTTCATTTGAGATGCCAAAGCAGTTACTTAATCCGGAAACTCTTCTGATTATCGACTCCTTATTTTTGAACTAAAAAACAATCTCTAAACTGTTTACCTCTTTTAAAAAAGTTTTTACTTGTTTATTTTTAGAGAGATGGGAAGCGAGGAAGCGAGGGAGAGAGTCATAGATCCGTCACCTCTCTCACGCCCCCAGCTGGGGACCCAGCCCGCAACCCAGGCACGCGCTCTGGCTGGAATCGAGCCCGCGCCCATTCGGTTCTCGGGCCGGCGCTCAGTCCACAGAACCGCACCAGCCAGGGCTGAAATGTTCGCCTCTTGCTTCTTCGTGCAGCCTGTTAGGAAACTGGAAGATGACACTCGCTGGAATCCACACATTAGCCGATGGGCGTTTCATTTTTGTGTGACCCTCCGCATTGACCCTTGCGCCCCTGGCCCTCCTCTGGTTTCAGGGCCATGTTTTGAGTGACTTCGGGCTGGTCACATGGTAGCGCGTTTGACCCGGTAGCCCTGTGAGGTAAGCAGGAGTCAGTTCAGTCACGAGATAACATTGTTTTGCCTCTCTGCATAGATTGAAAGACGATGACAGTGGGGACCATGACCAGAATGAAGAAAACAGCACACAGAAAGATGGTGAGAAGGAAAAAACGGAACGAGACAAAGGTCAGAGCAGCAGCAAGAGGAAGGTGAGTTTCGTGCTGCGCAGAGGTACTGGCCTTGGGACTCAGGCTTGGCTGTCTCATGGAGCTCGTGTCTCTGGAAGAGTCCAGATTAACGTGATTGCACACTGTTGTGTAGTAGCCGATTCTGTTCTCACAAAAAGATTGTAGAGCCACCAGAGTACATTCCGGGACTCAGAGTGTGGGGGTGCTCTGCCCGCAGGGCGCCCACCCCACTTCCTGGCCACCGTGGATGAGAGTAAGACTCATGGATGAGTCTACCATGACATGGTCTGCTTGGGGAGGAAAGGTGGCCGATCTCTCAAAGGAGAAGGGCCAGGAGCCTTTTCCTTGATGGGCTTTTATTGGGTTCATTTGCACAGGAATACAGGTAAAGCTCATCAGTCATTGTCAGGCAGTAAGGATCAAACAATAGACAACATACAAGGAACTGTGAGGGCTTATTCAGAGTCAGGGTCTGTGGGCTGAGGGGCTACAAAACTTTGGGAAACAAACTCATTTCCTGCTCGAACCCTTATCAGAAAACTGAGAGCATTCTTAGCAAAGCAGGTTTCACAGGATTTATGCATTCTTTCTTAGGCCTCATTGCCCCCAGAGGACCCGCCCTTTCTAGCACAGGGCTGCACCCAACTCCAACATTGTTTCAAGCTTAAGTCAGGCAGGGGAAGTAAGGCAGCCAAGAAATTAGGTGACTTCTCGCTGGCAGAATGAGGACTCAGGCTGTGTCAAAGCCAAGGGGCGAGGGTCCATCACCCCTTTTCCGTAGCCCCCAAGTCCTTCCCTGGGGGGACCCCCCCCATGACCGTGCCTGTCTTAGGTTGTCCCTCCCTTGAGGAATCTTACCCGTCATTGGCTAACCAATCATGCACTAGGGGCTAGGCAGGGTGAAGTAAAGGGAGCAGAGGTGGTGCCCCTGCCAGGAAGAGAAGCTTTGTCTCCTAGCGGCTTATGGTCCGAAAGTGGCTCACTCAGCCTTAGCCATGGGGGTTCCAGCTCCTGAAACCAGGCGGGGCGGCTCCCGACATCGGAGCTCCTCCCTGAGCACAGGACCTTGAGGTGCTGCCTCGCTTTCCAGCGCTCTCCGGGCCTGAGGTCGAGGGGATAACCGTGGGGTTAGCACGGCTGTTATTTGCCTCATAAGCTGCTGCTGAGCATTTTGGATCCTGCACATCCCTTGAAATTAGTGACTTGGAAAAGGGACAATTTGGAGAATTGGATAGATGGCTCAGCTTCTTGAAGAATCAAAGCAGCCCTGACCTATGTGTCTTGGTTGGAGCGTCATCGCCTAACCAGGGGTGTCCACCCTTTTGGCATCTCTGGGCCACACTGGAAGAAGAGTTGTCTTGGGCCACACATTAAGTACATTGTGACACATAATCACAAAGAAAATCCCATAATGTTTTAAGTATATTTGCGATTTTGGGCTGCATTCACAGCTATCCTGGGCGGCCCGTGGGCTGCAGGTTTGATACTCCTGCACCCCAAAAGATTGCAGGTTCATTTCTGGATCAGGGCCCATGCCTCAGTTACAAGTTTGGTCCCCAGTTGGGGTGCAAACCAACCATTTGGTTTTTCTCTTCCTCCCTTTCCTTCTTCCTGAAAAAAACAAAATCAAATCAGCATGTCCTCAGGTGAGTTGTTTTTTGTTTTTTTTAAATCAAAGCAATCGTTATTGCTTTATTCAGTAATATTGAGCCCTGGCTTGTGTGGCTCAGTGGATTGAGTGCTGGCCTGCAAACCAAACGGTCACCAGTTCGATTCCCAGTCAGGGCACGTGCCTGGGTTGCAGGCCAGGTGCTCAGTGGGGGGGTGCGTGACAGGCAATGACATAGTCATGGTTCTCTCCCTCTCTTCCTCCCTCCCTTCCCCCTCTCTAAAAATAAATAGTCTTTAAAAGGACCTCAATATGGAATATCCTATAGATACAAGCATTTTAGGTGCTAAGGGGACACAGAGGTGAGTGAAACTGTGGATCAGGGTGATAATGTTTAGTGGTGGTGATGACAACAGTAGCTGCCGTTTACTGAGTGCCACCTCTGTGCCGGCCACTGTGCTCAGCGCTTCGTGTCTGTTCATGTGTTTGGTCCTCTCAGCGCCTCTACGAGACGATTATTATTTACCCCACTTGTCAGACGAGTAGCCAGTAAGTGAGAGAGGGTCACAGAGGAGGGGTGCTGGACCTGGGACTCTGCTGAGATAAGGTACACGCACAAACACTTAGGAAGGAGCAAGTTACAGAAGCCATCAGAACAGAGATAAAATGGTACAGGAACTTAGAATCAGTTAACGGCTACAGCAGTTTACTGTGTGAGCAGGCTCTTGGGCACATTGCAGGTAGTAAATTGGGGGGGGTGGTACGGGGTGATGCCAGAATACGTCTTCTCCGTCCCAGAGCATGTGGAGAACGGCCCATTCTAACGCACCTCCTTTAATTCGCAGGCTGTTGTCCCCGGACCAGCAGAGCACCCCCTGCAGTACAACTACACGTTCTGGTACTCCAGGAGGACGCCTGGCCGGCCCACCAGCTCGCAGAGCTACGAGCAGAACATCAAACAGATCGGCACCTTTGCCTCTGTGAGTGCTCAGTGAGCCTGTGGCGCATTCACGCCTGTGCCGCTGTGTTTCCTTGCCCTCCCAACAACCTCTCCGGGGTTCTGGTTTCCTTCTCTCTCAGGTCAGATGTGGTTGTTCTTGGGTTTCCCATTCTACACCCGTAGGTAGCCATATGGGTGTATAGTATGTGAATTGTGGGATTGATCCGAAGGGGACCACACGAAAATGCAGGTTTGATTAAGTAGATCCTTGTTGAGTCCTGACTATGTGCAGTCTCTGGGGTAGGGGAGGTACAAAATTTTGTAGTACGTGATATACTCACAAGTCTTGATGGTTAAGTCAACACTAAACTTCAAAAGATTCTTCTGTATTTTTTAAAATATATTTTTCTAAGATTTCATTTATTTGTCGAGGGGAGGGAAGAGAAAGAGAGGGAGAGAAACATCAATGTGTGAGAGAAACATCTATCGGTTGCCTGTCACAGGCCCCCAACCGGGGACATGGCGGGCAACGCAGGCATGTGCCCTGACTGGGAATCGAACTGGTGACCTTTCAGCTTGCAGGACAATGCCCAGTCTACTGAGCCACACCAGTCAGGGCGATTCTTTTGAGTTTCATATAAGCTCCTGCCAGGGTTTTGGGTCTGTTAGTGGTGTGTGTGTAGAGTAGCACCTTCCCTTCCGTCTTCAGAAAGCAAATGAAATCTCGTAGTCATCGTTCCCGTGGGCCCTGCCGTGCAGGGAGCCCAGCGCTGTCCCGTCTCCCGCGCAGGCAGGTGCCAGATCTGTGCTCCCCGGGAGGCTGTCTGCGGCTTACGTGTACTTCCCGTGTGCCGCACCTTCCATCTCTGGGCAGGGTCCAGTTGGGGGTTCGTTACTTTCTTGAAATTATTGGGGTATCTGCCCTGTTAAAATGCAGACACAGAAGAGGAACCTGGTAGTCACTAAGTGTTCAAGCGAAATGGTGAAGAGGAAGGACACAGTAATAGCCAGTCTGTAACTTCCTTTAAGCGTTGGGATAACCCTGCGAGGTAAGGGATGTTGCCGAGATCTTACAGATGAGAACGTGAGACTTGGGCTAAGTGTCTGCTCCCAGGTCTCAAGCAGCCGTAATTTCCTTGGCTAGGTGGGGGGACCGGTGTGGGAACCCGGGTGGGCCAGCCGTGAGGGCCAGGTTGCAGAACCCTTGCCCTCCTCCAGTGCACCCGGGCGCTAGATGAGAGGTGCCAGTTCTTCAGAGGGTGCTTGCCAGACAAGCTCTGTTTACTTACCCATTTACTGTTGGACAGAACTGGTCGTTAGTTTATGTTATTACTGGGAGGGGAGATACGTGCTCCCTCGTCACTGGTAAACGCAGGCTCTTTTGGAAAATTAAAGACAGCTTGTGCACTAGAACACATTTGGTTCAAGAAGTGTGTGGTGAGTGAATTCAGGGCACAGGTGGGGTTCTAGAATGAACCAAGATCTTGCGCTTAGGGAAGCAGGACCTGGCCGGGGATGCCGGACCCGGGAGACAGCAGTGCTGGCGGGGACAGCTGCGGGGCCGCTCCCACGCCCTGTTTTTCTGAGTGGCCTGGGCAGTCACACCTGCGGTGATGTTCCAGGGCCAGCTCCGCTCCTGGCGCTTCCGAACCTGGTGTGCGGGCGTGCCGGCCGTCACCGTGCAAGGGCGGCCTCGGGCTGCGCACAGCTGGCGGAGCACACGAGGGTCGGAGAAGACGCTGCGCTGGAGAGGGCCCTCTCCACTCGGGGTCCTCCTGGTGCCCCCTGTGGGGGCCACAGATCCTCCCCGCCGTTTTCTTCCTCTCTCCAGGAAAGCGTAGTTGACCCGCCTTGGGAAAGGAGGGTGTCTGTTTCCTTTGGCACATGTGTCGAGTTGAATAGACCTTATCGTTAGCGCCGTCTTGGGTTAATTCTTCTCTCGTACCCACTGATGGGGGGCAGTGTTCAAGTCCACTGCCGCGTAATTCAGGGCAGTGAGAGGTGCCTCCCAGTGTTGAATTCCTCACAGGGAAGTAATTACGTTGTGAAACCCTTTAGTGAATCCAAAGCGGTATTTCCCGTGTGTCCTTAACCCTAGTACTTAGGGCGTGTAGACGTTCTTGAAACCAGGTGACTCAGGAGGCAGGGGTTTAACGTGGGAAGAGCACTGGGCTCGGGGGTCCCGGGTGCCCGACTGCATGGGTGCGGCCTCGGGCACTGTGTTCTCCCCTCTGCCTGCACCCCCTTCGCGGAGTCTGAACACCTTGTTTTTCTTTTTTCAACTAAGAGTTTCAGAAACCAAAACTGCCTGAAGAGAAGGGGGAAAGTCTTTCAAAGTGAGGTCGTGTTTTTGAGATGCGTGCCCCACCCGCCACGGCTCTGATGTAACGAGATCGGGACCGTGAGAGTGCGCGGTCCGGCCTGGGCGCGCCCCCCCACCCCACCCTCAGCCCTCCCCCGTCCCTCGCCGCAGGGAGCCGCGGGGCCTGGGCTCGCTGCCCTCCTTCCTGCTCTGTTTAGGCAGGGAAGGGGGCCGCCCGTTGTGCACGCATGACCGCTCGCCGTCCACGGTCGCCTTTGGCAGGCGCTCACCGCAGTGGCCGAGACGGGCGCTGCCGACGGCATTCGTCCCTGGCTCGTCTGGCACAGGAGGCGCTGCCCGGGGTCTCGTCCCGCAGAGGAGCCGCAGGGGCCTCGGTTCCACGCAGCAGACGGTCCCCTTCTCCTCGGTTGCCGTCCAGGTCTAGAGACACGGCCTGGACCTCCTCCTCTCCAGACCGGTCCACATTTCTCCTTCCCTCCTAAAATGTGCCCCTTCCCTGGCCAGCACTTAGTAGGTGCATCACAGAGGGATCGCAGAGGAACCAGGAAGCAGCCTCTCCTCTCGGCCCCTGCTGGGGAACGGGAGTGGCTGCACCCGACAGAGAAGTATGTCTGCTTCCCCGAGGGGCCGTGGGGGAGGGGCAGGGAGCCCCACCAATGTCCCAGCGTGACAGGGGCCTCCTCGGGACAGGCTGGTGACTGCCGGCGCGGGTGCAGGGCGAGGACCGGCTGGAACAGGTGAAGGATCAGTCGTGGGAGCGGCCAGGACAGCACAGGGACACTGACTGTTGTATGGTCGGCCACTCACATTGTAGCAACTATGTCGGTACCCAGTGGGTGCTGGGACCACCGGGGGTCACTTTGTGAGGGGTGGGACTGACCGCTGTGTTGTGCACCCGAAACTGAAACGAGAGAGCGCTGACGCCAGCGGGCGTGGGAGTGAGTGAGGAGGGACTCCGGCCCTGAGCGTGAGAGGCTGAGCCCCGCTTGCCTCCGGACTGTCCTGGCCTCGGCAGGGGGACCGTGGTTGGTCCTGTCACCCGGCGCGGTAACTGAACAGGGCTGAAGTGCGTCCCCCTGTCGCTGATGCTGGGTTTGAGAGAACAGTCTGTGCTCCAGAGGACGGGTTTCCGTTGCGTGGAACAAGGTCCCCACGCAACATGGAACATGACCCCCAGGTCATGGGTGGCAACGGGTCAACTCTGCCAGCGGAGGCCCTGGCTGAGGCTGGCATTTCTCGCCCAGAAGGGGTGTTCTTGGTCAACAACATTACGTTTTTCTTTCATCCAGCTTACCCTGTGCTTTTATCCAACATGCCCAGCCTCCCCCACAAGCCTCGAAATGAAAATGTACCCTTCAGTCAGAAGCATAGCCTGAAACAGCATGTCCTCCGTGTTTACGCCTTTCTCTCACGTAAGGCTTGCTTCCATGCATTCAGAGAAAAGGCAGTCACGTCTTCTGTGTCCCTTCTGTGGGCCTTCTCCTCACAGGTGGAGCAGTTCTGGAGGTTTTACAGCCACATGGTGCGTCCCGGGGACCTGACCGGCCACAGCGACTTCCATCTCTTCAAAGAGGGAATCAAACCCATGTGGGAGGTGAGGACTGGGGGCCTCGCGCTGCTGTTATGAGCAAGTCGATTTTCGTTTGGGGTTTTTGTTTTGTTTTTTTAGCCTAGCCGAGGTTTAAAGTATTTTAAAGTCTTCTCTCAAAATTGCATCACTGTTAGCCACCTCCGAGGACTGGGACCCCAGGAAAAGATACAGTGCCATCGCTTGTTGGGGGGGATGCTGGGTGGTCTGGAAGGTCGTTGTGTCACCGAAAGGGTGTTGTGATGGCATTCCGGGGTGGTTTTCCTCAATTACCCTTGTTCCTGTGGAACTGGCAGTGTGGGAATTGTATTACCACGGCATAGTTACAGTTGAAGTGGGTAAAAAATAAGCTTTAGGCAGTAACGGGAGACCCAGAGCTGAGCTTTGTGATCTTTGCTTTGCTGAAACCCACCTCGAATTTGGTGCTGTGGCGTTTTTCTAGAAGACAAATGTCTCACCCCACACGCCACCTCCATCCCCCGCCCCGGCCAGAATTTAAAATGCCGTGCAGCGCTCCGTTGCTCACGTGCTCTTGCAGCCGGTTGGCCTTCAGCCCATCTCCCGTCCTCTCTAAGTCACCCTGTCCCCTGTCCCCCGTCCCCCGGCCCTGCACGCGGGCAGCGTCTGCGCCTGGACACGTTCCTCCCGGAGCCTGTAGGCCCTCCACCTGCTCTGCCCAGCCAGCTCCTGGGCCCTGGGGGCCCAGCTGCTTAAATGCTTCCTCCTAAGTGTTTCTTTTTTTTTTCCCCCAAGAATATGGTATTCTTTAGATTTTATTTATTTTTAGAGAAAGGGGGAGAGAAGGAGAGAGGGAGAGAAACATCAATGTGTGGTTGCCTCTCGTGCACCCCCGAATGGGGACCTGGCCCGCAACCCAGGCATGTGCCCTGACTGGGAATCGAACCAGCGACCCTACGGTTCGCAGCCCGAGCTCAGTCCACTGAGCTGTACCAGCCAGGACCCTCTTGAGTGTTCCTGACGGTCTCGCTCTTGGACTCGATGTGCAGGTCTCTGATGCAGCAGCGCTCGTCAGACCGTACCGCTGCAGTTAATGTTCTCGTCTGCCTCCTCAGCTGGACTGGGTCTGGGAGAGACTGGCTTCCTGTCTGCGTATGTGTGACATGGGGACACTGGCACACTTCGTGGCACACGAAGTGAGGAATCGTGTGTTTGGAATCGGACATCATTTCGATTCCTAGTTGCAAAAAAGAGGGTCCTTTTTAAAGTGTCCGTTGAGCCATTGTTTGAACTGACTTGTATCAGGACCCCTACCTTGCTTTTCTTTCTGTCCTCTCCCTACCACCATTTGTTCTATAAAGTTGAATAACTGGAAAGTGACAAGACCTCTGAGGGATCACGCCAAAGACAAAAGAGCTGTGAAACTATTTGAACTTTTTGCTTTCTGTCTTTTTACAGGATGATGCAAATAAAAATGGTGGCAAGTGGATTATTCGGCTACGGAAGGGCTTGGCGTCCCGTTGCTGGGAGAACCTCATCCTGGCCATGTTGGGGGAACAGTTCATGGTTGGGGAGGAGATCTGTGGGGCTGTGGTCTCTGTCCGGTTCCAGGTAAGCCCCCACGGGCAGGTCTGGTTGTGCGAGCTGCCTCTCCGCCCCCTGCCCCGGCTTGCCTTGACGAGCCCTGTGTTCCCCCTGCAGGAGGACATTATTTCCATATGGAACAAGACTGCCAGCGACCAAGCAACCACAGCCCGAATCCGGGACACGCTTCGGCGAGTGCTTAACCTACCTCCCAACACCATTATGGAATACAAAACCCACACCGACAGCATCAAGTACGTGCTGGGGAGGGCTGGGGGGGCACGTCCCTGAGGTCAGCAGAAGTCGGTTCTTAGTTGGGTCCAGAGGAGTGTGGCCGCACAGGGGACTGACTTAGGAGAAGGGACAGACCAGCCTTCCCCTCTAGTGCTTCTGGCCGCTCACAGCAGCTCTTCGCTGGTGCGGCTCCTGCACACGTCACCGCAGCAGAGAGCGCCCCCCTGCAGGACCCCAGCTGCAGTGTCTGGGCTGGCTCGCCTCCCACGGCGGGCTTGTCTTTCATGGGCTAGCTGCCCTCTTCAAGTGAAAGGCAAGGGCTCTTCCTTTTCCTGCCGTTTTTTAAGGTGACTTCACTGAACAGGAAGGTCCTCCCTGTCCGCTCCTGCCCCCACTTTTGCATGTCATTTTAACCTGTTAGCTCTGTCTGTCTCTGTGTCCTGGGAAATCAACGTCTTAGCAGGAGTGTGACTCCATTCCCTGGCGTGCGGAGCCGAAGTCCTGGGGGGAGCAGAGCAGCGTGTGTGAGAGGGCAGGACCCCAGGGAGCACGAGCGACCTCGGGGAGATGAGCTGGGCTCTGTGCTCTGCCGAGGGCTCCGGGCTTTAGAGCCAGCGCCCGCACACGGCAGCCCCCAGCCAGGGCAGTGAGTGAGTCTCACCTGCAGCCAGGCCCTCTGAGGGAGGTGTGGGGAGTGGCTGTCGGACTGTCTCAAAGCTGGTGGAGAGCCGGCCGGCAAGGAGTCAGGACGTGTAGGTCCAACCCCTCTCCTTTGGCTCCAGCGTCAGCATGTGCCTTTGGCAAGGCTCTGCCGCTCGGCCTCCGTCTCCCCACCTGTGAAATGGGGCCGATGCTGCTCCACCTGATAGGGCTGTCGGGAGGCTCACCGGGTCTTTGTCACGCAAGGTCCTCAGAAGGAGACTGCACGTAGAGGGCTGAGTGTTAGTATCGCTGTCATCGTCATCCTCATCAGACGTAATGCCGTCATGACGTTGTTCTGATTAAAGACTAGCGACGCGCCCAGTGGTGGTGGTCAGCAGACAGCCCCTCTGGGAGTCTTCCGCGTGCATTCACAGATCGCGGTGTTAGCCGAAACTGGCCGAGAGCCTGTTTTTTAGCTGAGAACACTGCCACAGGAGTTGGTCCGCTGGCTGTGACTCATCGCGGCCACCAGGAGCCACGAGCCAGCCACGGCCCGGGCGCCGGACCGAGCAGTCCTGTGTTAGCATCGTTTCCTCTGAGCAGATTTTTCCTGTTCGTTATTCTGAGGGTAGAAATAGTTTCCGCCCTCCAGCCAGGTTTAGTGCAGGCTGGAGGTATCCACACCTGCCTTTCCTAGGACTCTTACGTTGCAGGTTCCCACACCACCCCCCAGATCGGCCCCCCACCAGAGCAGGCTTGTCCCCGGGATAGGAAAGGGAAGGAGGTGTTTTTCAGCTCTCCCTCCTCCACTGGGCTCCCTCTCTCGTGCCCTGAGGCAGTTCTTCCTGACTTCTGTGGGCATGTGTTCCAAGTCCTTACAGAGGCTGGGAGAGCCCGTGGGCTTCCGCCTCAGTCCGCTGCGCTGCTTCATCCAGAGGTCCGCCTAGCACGCCAGCCCCGCAGCCACAGGGACCGGAAAACCCTCCTTGACACCCAGATGCTGCTCTCCTCGGTCTCCCTCCCTTTCCTCCCCCAACCAGCCGACCTTTTGCACTCCCACTAGAATGCCAGGCAGGCTGGGCCCCCCGAGGCTCCTCTTTCAAAACCTCTGGAAGCCGCGGTTGAACGGGCCCTGACCCTCCCCTGTCTGGATGGCACCATCATTGAAGCTGGCATCATCGGAGCCCCTTGTTCTGTTGGCGTGCTGCCCGGAAGACCCTTCTGTCCCGGACAAGAGGAACTGGAAGAGCATTTTGTGTTTTAAGAACGGGCTGACACAGCAGCTACAACGACAGCTGAGATCACTTAATAAACGGTGCTAAACTAGCTTGTCTCATGCTCTTGCTCTTTGTGGCGCATCAGCGAAGTGGCCTTGCAGACTGACTGTCACCGCGTCCAGGAATGACGCAGACTGCTCCGTGAGGGCCATCGGGGGAACGCAGCCTCACCTCCATAGCCCACTGTACAGTGTCCCGTGCGTGGTGTTTGGTTCCACCTCCGCTGAGGTCTGACATAATGAGGTGACATCTAACCCAACCCGAGACCCCACTTTCTGGCACTTGAATGTTAGTTTCCACCTGGCCACCCTGATGAACAAGAACACAGTGGCTTCTGAGGCAGAGTCCAGCGGGAAGGTCATTAAGGCTGGAAGGGGGGTCCTTGGCTTTTGCTTCGCTGGCTTTGTTCGCCTTTCCTTCAGAGACAGCTCTTGCTTGCAGGCAGAGTCCTGCTTCCGTCTGCGTGCGTCTGTACGTGTGTAGCTTCCTTGCTTGGTGCTGACGGGGTTTCTCGCTGCCAGAGCTGCCCGAGCCACCAGCTCTCTGCTGGCCTCTCCCTTGCGCTTTCCCTGCAGAGCCCGGTCATCCTCCTCTTCGGGCCAGCTCTGCTGGCAGGGCCTCCGGGGCCCAGCCCTTCCCTCCTCCCAGGCGGCTGTGCCTCGGGAGCCGGGCTGGGGTGACGTTGTCTTTCTCCTGAGTCTGCTCCTCAGGGTCGCTGACCGCGGCCTGTGCCGTCCCCTCACGTGCTTCGTGGCTTGGCTTGTGTGGCCCGCCAGCCCTAACCTGCATGCACAGATCGCAGCGAGTCTCACGGTACTTGCAGCTTTCTTGGGAGCTACCGACTAAACCAAAAGTAACTGTTTCTGCAGACCCTGGGTCAGGTTGCCCAACCGCATCTGTGAAGGTGGACGTGGGCGGATGTGGGGGTTTCCAAAGTGGCTGTTCCATTGGCAGCGCCACTCCGGGCTAGTGCCATCCTGACAGACCGTTGGTCTCCACGTGGCCTGGGATCCCACAGGACACAGTTGGGGGCAGCACCCTGGGCTCTGCCCTCGGGAGCAGTTCGTGTCGTGGCCGCTTTGCGGCACACGCACAGTCGGTTGGAGTCCTGGGAAGCGGGAGGTGTGTCGGTGCGTGGAGGTGCCTGTTCCCTGACCTCAGCATTTGCAAGGACCGCTTAGCGCCTGTGTCCTCTGGCCTCCTCCACTGGTGTGTGGTGTGTACTGGCCTTCATTTTGGCTCCCGCAACGGGTCCAGGGATCAGTGTGATGTCACCCTCCTGAGCCAGGGTTCATCAGAAAGCACCGAACTGACCTTGAGATCCTTCTGGTCCTGGCCACATGTGAGCAGACGTCAGAACTGTCCTGCTCCGTGCCCTTCCTCATGGCTGTCCTGCAGGGATGGCTTTAAGCCAAGGGACAGCAGCTGCCGGGGACTTGAGAACTAAGGAAATGAAGGAATAAGCGGTCTGGAGAGCAGTCCCCAGTTTTCCGGAAACGGTGGGGGGACCCTCAGGAGTGGCCTAGGTTCTCATGCGATGGACCTCCACCTTGCTGCATGTCTGTCCAGTTTCCAATGTCCTTTTTGCAGCCGCTCGGTGTCTCCAGCCTGCCCCCTCACACCGCTTGTGGCCTTCTGCTGCTGCGCTTGCGTTCCTAGGAGAGCTGAGCAGCAGGCACTGCCACGCTCAGCACCCGGCTGCTCAGCTGCAGAGGGGTCGCCTGCCTGCCGCCTCCTGCCCCCTGCCCCCTGCCCTTGTGTTGCCAGCAGTGGGCCCCAGGAGAGTGAACAGGTCACAGTGAGAAACGGGAGGCTTGTTCAACCGAGTGTTCGCCCAGGTGCGTGGCTCCTGTTAACGAGGCCCGTTGCAGCCGAGGCTCCTTAGGTGTGGGTCCCTGTAGGCATGAGGTGACTCGCTGTGTCCTCAGTTTTGAGAAGCAGTCTCCTAACATAGACTTGCGACCCAGAATCGTGGGCACACCGGGGTATCACTGGGCACAGAGCCCACACGGCAGTGCTGTCTGCTGTGCTGCCTCTCGGTAACGGTCCCATGATCCCTTTGTGCATCTGGCCTGGAACGGAAGCGGGGAAGACAGGCCGTCTGCATGCAGTGGGCCACCGCGGTGGGGAGGTTGGCGGCTCCCTCTGCAGAGAGAGTTGAGGGTAGGTGACTTCTCTTCATTTCTTTATTCTAGAGGAGAAACGATCAAGTCGTGGGGAATTTCCTTAACCTTGTCCAGATTTCATTGTACTTAAACATCAGACTTTGTGGGCCAGGGCCACCCCTCCCTTCTGTTGTGGCTAAATCATAGCCCAGTGGCACTGGGTCACACTGGGGTGACTGCTGGCCTGGCTTAGGAAGTCCATCCCTACTGATGTCCAAGTAAAGGAAGCCGGGCCAGCAGGAGGCTGAGCTTGTCCGTGCGTGCTGAGGGCCGGCTGAGTGTGCGCTGTGAGCCAGGCCTTGGGGGTGGGGGGCGGGTGGAAGTTCAGGGCCACACAAAAATGAGCTCTCTGCTCCCAGAGTTGGCTTTCCAGTAAGTGGGCTGAAACAAGAGTGGTCTTCAAAGGACTCTGTTAACTTGTCATTTGAGTTTGGTCAGAATTCCCTGTGGGCTATATTAATCTCAGTACCTTTTTTTTTTTAGAAGCTTCATTCATATGACACTTTTTTAACATTTAACTTTTTTTTTTTTTTTTACCTTTGAAAGTAAAGCAAGTTTTAGTATTATCTAAGATGCCTGGGACACCACATGGAAAATAGCTAGGCTGTTCTCCCTCGCGTCAGCGCATTGATTTGCTCGCAGCCAAACCTCAGAGTGGCTGTGCCAGTGACCGTGGGCAGCTGCCTTGTCCCCACCGAGCCTGTGTGAGGGGCTTCCTTTCCCCGGGCTCGGCACGCTGAGGTGTGACACGGGGACGGAACTTGTGCAGGAGCAGGGAGGGCCGCTCTGTGCTGGAACAGAGCAGAGGGCGTCTCTGAGACCCGTGTGTCTGCTGCAGGTTCCGGGCACGGAACTGCTCTGCTGGGACTAGCGCGGGCCTGTCTAGAAACAAGGGGGGATGAGACGAAGCTTCAGCACAACCGTGTTGTGTCCTGTGGACACTGAAGCGGCCTGAGGCAGAATGTCAAGCTCACTGTTGAAACGGGCGGGGCTTCCTGGGTCGTCGCCCCAGCGTCGGATCTGGCTTTGCCTTAACTCGGGCGAAGAGCAAAATGACCCTCCGACGCCCCACGTGGACCCACAGAGCTGCTCCCTGCACGGCCCTCCTCGCCGGAGCGGGCCATGGGGCAGGCGTCTCCCTGCGGACGCTGAACCGACCGACTGGCGCGCCTGCTGGGCGGGCCTGTGCTTCTCAGCCCAGTCAGTGCATGTGTGCAGCCTGGGTGACGCCGGCTGAGGAAACCGTGGCTGCGCGCCGCCCCTCGCGCTGAGAGGTGGGCGGAGCTCGGACTCGGGCGAACACCGACGGAACTGCGTCGGTGTTGCCCTGGAGAGTGGGTTTGCCCTGCCAGGTCTTACTCCACCCCTCCCCCGCTTAAAAATAAGAACAAAAGCTACCTGAAGGAGCCCTGGTAAGAAAGTGTGTTTCAGTGGCCGTAACCTAAACCTGCAGCGAGTGACACAGTATGTTGTCACCCCTTTAAACGAAGGGTGGAGTGATTCACGAAAGGGAATTTTAGATTTAGAAGACCCAAGTGACCCGTTATGTGTATAATTGCCAGGGAACTTAGCAGACATTTCGTCCCTAATGGAGCAGAAAAGTGGCCAGGATATTTTCTTGTGGTCCCTCTGACAAAATTTGAGGTGAGTTGGGCTCCAGGTGCCGGAGGATTCTGGTGTCTCTCTCGGCCGGCAGTCACCAAGGACGGGGAGCTCCGGCCTGTAAGACCGGGCCCCTCGGTCACACTCCTACCCCTCCCTGACCCCAGTCTCTGCATGAGCTCATCAGCGTGGAAGTTGTCGCGAGCCCCATTCCCTGGAGATCGTGAACTGCTGTGACCTACACCGTTTAAACTTTAAGATGATGACATGGGTATACTCAGAAACAACCCGGGGTAGATTTGGGGTCTGAGGTTGAAGGGTCAGAAGGTTGGGAATGTGAAAGCAAAGCAACATAGAGGGGTTTCCCCCTTGCACCTCCAGACACGACGCCCTTGGGCCCCTGCCTCTACCCTCAAGGTGAGGCCTGGGGCGGCAGAACCGTCTCAGCCTCCCACCCCCCCCCCCCCGCTGCCCTTTGCCCCGTGAGTGGTGAGTGGGAGGTGTTGCCCGGGATGGTGGAGCTTAGCTCTGCCCTCATTGGCCTCCCTGGTAGACTTGGGGGAGGGCTGGATACAAAGCCCCGAGGGAGCAGGGATCGAGGGCCAGAGTTCACCAGCGGAGCAGCCAGGACAAGTGCCAACTGTCCCCGAGAGGCGCTGGCCCTCCCCGCGTGTCTGAGGGCGAGTCCAGGTGGGAAACCTCACAGCTGTGCTTCCCAGCGGGCGTCGGGTGGGCTGCACTCGGCCTTGAGGGTATCTGAAGTGGGGTGCGGGGTGATGTGTCTTCTCTTTGTTGCTAAAAAGCTTTTGATCTGAATGTGCTATTGTGTTTTTTTGTCTCTGGTTTGCCAGGGCCTGGGAGGAGTTTCATGGCCTGGTGAACAGCAGCGGCCGCTGATCGGACGCTCCCCTCTGTCTCTCACACTCAGGGTAGGGCCTCGTCTGTTCTCTGTAACCCCGTGACGCACCCCTCGGCCACAGGGCCCCTCCTCCCAAGGGGCCGTGCTCTCCCCGGGTACCCCCAGCCTTGCTTCTGCCCACGCGGAGTCGGCTCCAGCCCCTCCTCTGGCTGATGGGCGCGTGTCTCCTGGTGACCGCCCGGGCAGGTTGCTCAGCCTCGCTGTGCCTCCCCTTCCTCGTTTGGGAGGGAGGGTCCGCGGACTGACACGTCTCTGGCCTCCTCCAATGCCAGCCTTTCACGGTGATCAATGTGCCACAAGTCCCTCTTCTTTGGCCCAGACGCGGCCATTTGCAAGCCATCTGGCAGTGTCCTGTGACTAACGTGGGGCAGGTGAGGCGCTTGTCTCCTGTGTGCTGGGGGGTTGTCAGCTGCGAGGGAACAGGGACAGAGGGGCGGGTCTGCCCAGCGAAAGGCCTGGGGCGGGTGCAGGACTCTGTGGGAGACAAGAGAGCTCCGGGCCACGCTGCCACCGCACCATGGCATGTTGGCCAGCAGGGAGAGACCCCGGGACAGGGGCGCGGGGTCAGCCGGGGCATTCATGGAAGGGGCGTCTGCATTCCAGTGCAGGGCATGCCGGGTCCAGGGTCGCTGCTTCAGAGAGGACCCTGGGAGCGCTTGCTCCTTCTGGGTGGGAGGAGTGGATGGAGAGAGGCGTCTGCGTGCACTGGCCCAGGAGCGTCCTGCTGGACAGCACCCGCCCCTGCCCCGCACCGTTCCCGAGAAACGGGATTTCTGCGAGTGGAACAGAACATGTTGGCTGTAGTAGCCACCTCAGAACTTCACCTTCCCAGCGGGGAAATGAGACTTTTTCCAGAGAAGGAGACCTGCACTCCTCGGGTGGGCTGGACGAGAGGATGGCACAGGGACAGGCGCGGGGGGCCAGGGGCCTGGGGACTGTGCGGATCAACAGTCCCAGAGCTGCTTCTTCTGCACACACGGATGGTGCCACGCACACCTCTCGTTTTACTGGTTTAGTTCCCATACGATAAATTCCACTTTAGGTGACAGTGCTAGATTTTTAAAGTTCTTTTGTTTTAAACGTTTATTGATTTAGACCCTGGCTGGTGTGGCTCAGTGGATTGAGCCTGGGCCTGCGAACCAAAGGGTCGCATTTCAATTCCCAGTCAGGGCACATGCCTGAGCTGTGGGCCAGGTCCCAGCAGGGGGTACATAAGAGGCAACCACACATTGATGTTTCTCTCCCCCTCTCTCCTTCCCTTCCCCTCTCCAAAAATAAATAAACTCTTTTAAAAATGATTATTGATTTTAGAAAGAGTGGAAGGAGGAGAGAGGGAGAGAGAGACAAACATCGATGTGAGAGAAACATCTATTGGTTGCCTCCCATATGCGCCCCAACTGGGGACTGAACCCACATACCTAGTTATGTACCCTGACCAGGAATTGAACCTGCAGCCTTTTGGTGTACAGGGTGATGCTCCAACCAACTGAGCCATGCTGGCGTGGGCTAGATGATATTACTAGATTTTTTAAAGTTGAAATTTAAAAGGGTTCTCTGTCATTTGTAGTTAACATGGAATTCTGGGATGGCTGCTAATAATCAAGAAAGGGTGGAAATTACATCAGCTGTGCAATTAGATACATTGATTTTCAGGCTGCAGAGTGGGTATTTGAAGTACATTAAGTTTAATTTCGAGAGGCCTGTGTCTATAATGGAATTGTTTTAATTATATTACCATATTTAATTATGTGTAAGATTTTTTTTGCTTTTAATATCCCTATAATTGGAATGCTTATAGTAAAGGTGATAAAAATTTTTGTCATAGTTTAATTGGCAATATTTACTTCTTAAAGTACATAAAATGATACCTTGGAAGTCAGTAGTATTAATAACATCTTAGGTTTCATGAAAAAAAAACACTTTAAAATGAAACTGGAATAGTCAGAATGAGAGAAAACTTAAAATTATTCCCTCTCCCCTCAGCTACAACTAAATCCCCCAGATAAAATACCGAATTGCTTTGAAAAATCCTATCTTGGCATGATTGCCATTTTGTAGTCTCTGTGTTCTCCCCTTTCCCCGTCTTTTTCTTTTTTAAGATTTTATTTATTTATTTTTAGAGAGAGGGGAAGGAAGAAAGGGGGAGAGAAACATCAATGTGCAAGAGAGACATCAATCAGTTGCCTCTCACACGTCCCCAAGTGAGGACCTGACCTGCAACCCAGGCACGTGCCCTGACTGGGAATTGAACCGGCAACCTTTTGGTTCGCAGGCTGGTGTTCAGTCCACTGAGCCACACCAGCCAGGGCCACCTCCAACCCTGTCTTTTTTATCGGCAGATGAAGGGGTCACTTGTGCTTCTCGACGTGCAGACTTGGAAGTCTGAGGGAAGTATTAGAGTCCAAACAAAAACCCAGCTCACTCCATTGCCTTGTTAGACCTGAAAAGGCCTCCTTCCTATTTCATGTGTTGGCTTGACCTCAAGGTCAAGGGGGTGCTCGCAGCCGCACCTCCGGTTGCCCGAGCTGCCGTTGCAGACGCCCCTGACATTCGGCCTCTCGCCCTCTCTCTGTGTTTCCCCCTCCGAGGAGGCCGTGATCTGTGATGAAGTGAAAACTGCTATTTAGATCATTCTTGTCGAACCACACGCGGTCCCTCGGTTTACCGGGTATGTTTTGCCGTTATATACGGCTGCTAACACTGGAGGCCCACTTCCTTTGGCCCCCACTATACGTGAGAATCGCCCTTTCCAGCATGGCATCCCTAGAAGCCCCCGTTAGCTGCTGGGAGGGGGTTCTGGTCACTTCTGCGTCTGGGCTGGTCTGTACTTTTGGGGAATGAAGTTGGTGTGGCCACGCAGTGGGAAGTCGGGCACGGAAACGGCCCCACGGCACCCAGGAGGTGGGCTTTCCGGTTGGCGCGTGGGAAGGAGCGCGGAGGAAGCCAGAGCAGTCAGGGGCCGCTCACAGCTGAGAGCCGGGGAACGTTCCCCCGGGGAGGGCGGGCACTCAGGCCTGCGCCTGCCTGTGGCTGCACTCTCGAGCCCCCCGCAGGGCCGGTGCTCGGGGAGAGCTCCTCCTCGGTGGTGCCCAGCTTTCCCCGACGACGACCCAGAGTCACCTGGGCGCCCAGCTCAGGGGCGCGCTTCCGTGAGAACAGGAGGCACTCTCAGGGGCTGACCACCTGCTCCCCCGCCGTCCGCCCTCCGGCGCTGACTCTGCCCTGGCTCCTCCTTCCCCGAGTTCGCACCCGTCCGTTTCTCTGGAAGGACAGGAAGGCGGTCCCTTTGAGGCAGGACAGATCAGACAGAGGGTCATCCGGGGAGAGAGGGTGCCTGCAGCGGCGCGGGTCCCTTGGCTCTGTGCCCTGTGCCCTGGCACGTAAGCATCTGCTGGGACGCGTGAAGGCACGGTGGGAACCTCGGTGTCCGCAAGCCCCTTTAGATCAGGGCGCCGGCCCGTCCCGGCAGCTCGTTTTGCATACATTCGCAGGCGAGGGTGTAAAATTCCCCTCACCTCGTTCCAAAGCCTCTTCTGCATCAAGAAGAGTACGAACCTGTCCGGTAGCCTGTGCACCATCCCGGCCTGGCTGGGTGGCTGGGGGGCTAGCTTCCGGGAGTTCTCTCTGGATTTCTGAAATGTTAGTGTGCTTTTAAAGGAACAGAAGTGCATCTTTTTGTACAAAAACAAGAGTCACCTGTGCCTCTGCCACTTCCTGCCTCCACCTGTCCTTCCCCCGTCTCCCGACCTCTCGCAGCCTGGGAGAGGGACTTGACCGCGGGTCGCTTCCCGGCTGGTCCAGGTGGACACGGTCCGCAGACTGAATTCGGCCCCAGGCTGTTCTCAGCCCACTCCTCTTTCAGAAAGGCTGGACCAAAGCCCCCAACCGCCACCAGCCTGTCACTGCAGGAGCCTGTCACCCACCCTGTTGCTCTTCCTCGATGACAGCCTCTGGAGGAAGAGCTGATAGCCCCGGCCCCCCGTGTTACACACAGGCTGAGTCAGGGTGTTGGGGCTCCTCCCGCCCTCTGACTCCGGGGGTCAGCGACGGCGGCAGTCCTGAGAACAAGCGTGCAGAGCGCCTCCGTTCACCTGCCGGGGGAGGGCTTTGTTCCCGGCCCGGCCCCCGCCCAGGACGGGAGCCCTCCCCAGAAAGGACGCCTGCCGGTGGTGAGGACGTCCGTCCCGCGGAGGCTCTTCCTTACATCCCGGGACCGGACGGCGGCCGGGCTGCTCCAGACCCTGGGCCGCCCTCCCTCCCCTCCGAGGCCGACCGTCCCCCGGGCTCTCCTTCCTGCACCCCCGCCTGTCGTCGTCGCCTGTCTCGTTTCTCCCCGCTGACTGACTGCTGTGACCCCGTCGCCCAGCGGGAGTGGAGGTGGCACGGACGGGAAAGAGATGGCACGGCACGGCACGAGCCGCCCCTCCCTCACGCCGCTCTGTCCTTAGAGGCGTCCCTGTCCCACGGACTCTGTGACAGCGCACCGCCCCGAAGGGACTCCACGGAGCACACACACCCCAGTTCCGCTCGCCTCCCTCTGCCTTAGGGCCAGACACGCTCCTTGTCCTTTGCCAGCTGCTTGGCGGCGTCTCGGTAGGGTGTGTCCTTTTGAAAGGCCTTTTAAGAAAGATGCACACCCCGTTACGTTCCCTTTGCATTGGGCCTGCAGCTCCTTAGCTCATTGGAGCGCCCACTCGCCACTGATGAATGAGCTGTCTGGGCACGCAGGTCAGTTACAGAAAACGCAGGCGGGCTTTCGGGTACCGTCGGTTTCTCCTGTGGGCAGGCAGAGGTCACCACCCCCCCAGCCGCAGCCGCAGCTGCCCCTCAGTCCGTGTCTTACACTCACCGCAGCCTGTCTCTGCGGCGGGAGGGCTGTCCGTCACTGGCAGCCCGCCCCCGGCGTGGAGGAGAGCCCCCGGCCCGCCCCAGGAGGACGCTGCCGCCTGGCCGGGCTGGACGCACCTGTTCCTGTGGACCCGTTGCCCTCTGCCCAGTCAGGGTCACTAAAGCCAAGTTTCTAGAACGTTCCATCAAAATTAAAGGGAAATAACAGCTTCAGGATCAGGTTAATGACACTTTCCGTTTCAGAATTTCAGGCAAACTGAAGATGTAGGCACTGGGCCAGAGCAGTGGATGAGGTGACCTTTAAAGCCCCTTCTAGCCCTTAGATCTCGGGGCTCAGATGGCGGCGTGAACGGCTGAGGTGTCGCTGGGTCCTGGTGGGGACAGGGGTGGGTGCTGGTAGGTGGCCAGACCCGTCTGCACCCAGTGGAGGGCGACCAGCAGGACGCATCCTACAGTCCATCCCGCACAGGCACGCACGCACACACGCCTCTCTGTCGAGAGCTAGAGCTAAGTTTCTGAAGTGGGGGGCGCCCAGAGTTCACCTCTGGGAACATCCCTTTTACGCCGCTGTAGGTTTGCAGCCCAGGGTTGTTCGGTTGATCTTTATGAGTATGTAACACAGTCGTGTGGTTCAGTTTGTTTTTAAAGTGTGTGTGTGTGTGTGTGTGTGTGTGTGTGTAAGAAAGAGAGAGGTCTCCCTCCCACCTGGCAGCCTCCGCGCAGCCTGTGCCCTGTCCCCCTCCCCCGTCCCGGGCAGCTGCCGTTGCTGGTTGCTCGTGGAGCCTGCAGCGCTGCTTCCGGTACTATGAGCAGATGCGACCTCTGACCCTTCTTCCCCCACCCCGGCTTGTGCAAAGGGTAGCATCCTGTGTGCACACAGCGCTCTGCACCCTAACTTACCGATTTCTCTTGGAGATGTTTCCTTATTAGCAGGGAGCTTCCTCTTATTTTTGAAGCTACGCCGTGTCCCATTGTGTGACTGTGCCATCGCACTAATAGTTAACTAGTCCCCTGTTGATGTGCGTTCAGGTGGTTTCTAATCTTCTGCTATTGCAGACGGTCGAGTCGCAGTGTTTGAAGGGACTTGGGGGGCCAGCCACAGTGCCGGCAGTAGGACAGTGACGGGGGGGGGTCCCGGGCAGGCGGGCCCCCAGGCTGCCGAGTGCAGGCCTCCCGTGTGTGTGTGTGTGTGTGTGTGGTCTGCAGATGACCTGTGAACTGAATGCTGTTTTCTCCCTTTTTTCTTTCTTCCAGGGACAACTCCAGCTTTCGAAACACAAAAATCACCTTGTGAACGTGCACGGGCTGGCAGTGATCCCCTCCTGTGTGTGTGTTGCCGGAGCGGACGGGGGTCTGTGGCTGGCCCTCCCTCTGCCCCCCTCGGAAGGGCGTCCCTGAGCGGCCTGCTCCCTTTTGCACTCGTCCCCGGAGGACGGACCCGCCAGACGCCCTCTAGCAGCGCCGACCTTGTAAAGCGGAAGAATGGCAAACGTGACTCTGTAACAGACACACTTTTCTTGTGGGTTTCTGTGGGGGCGGTCCAGCCTTTCCTTTTGCCGCGTGCTGCCCGGGCGCCTCCCGGGCCTCCTGCCGTGCTCCGCTCTGCTGTACGAAGGCGCTGCGGCCGCGGGTGCCCGCCGGAGCTGTGGACTGGGGGCTGTCAGTGTTAGGGACGCCTGTGCGCCCAGGAAGCACTGTGTGTCGCCGAGTCCCGGGGTAGCTGTAAATGCTCTCTTCTAGCTTTGCCATTAAATTATTGGGACGTTTTGTTTATTTCGCTCCCCTCTCCCCCGAGCCCACCACCCTCTGACAGCGCGCTGCTGCCTGTGTGGTCTCCTGCCTGACACCCGCCAGGCTTCCCCGGGGTGGGTCTCTCCCGCCCGGGCTCTGCTGCACTCAGAACTGTGACCCAGAGGGCCACCGCCGTCCCTGAGGCGCCTCAGCGGTGTGGCTCTGTCACTTAACCCGGAGCAGAACCAGCTGGGTCGGGAGCGAAATGCCAGCAGAGGTTCTGAGCGAGACCGGGAGCCCAGGGCGGCATCTGGAAGAGCCTGTTTACCCGGAGGGGCGGGGCCTCTGTGTCCAGCCCGAGTCTGTGGGTTCTCGCCCGGCTCTCACCAAGGGAGGGGAGCGAGGGCTGGTCACGGCCAGGAGCTCACCCTTCCCGTGGTGAGCTCTGTGGTCCTGAAACTGGGACATCCGAAGAGAAGGCGACCGTGGCCGATGGCTGCCTTTACGTGGCTGCGCCCGTCCGGGGGTGCTGGAGACCTGCTCAGTCCTCATCACCTGGTACCTGTGTGGCAAACCTGTGCCGACCCAGGGTGCCCACAGAAACTTCGGCAGGCTCCTGCAGGCACGCGCCAGGGCGGTCTCAGAGCACGTGGGGTTGACCTGAGCACTGAGGACCAGCGCCTAGCAGCCTGCAGGGAGTTGTGTCTCACTGGGCTCTTGTGAGCAGAGATCGAAGTACCTTAAATTAAGGTCCCCCCCGAGACCTCCTCGCAGGCCAGAAGGCCTCGGGGGCCGGGCCTCAGAGAAGTGTGTGTGTAACAGGCGCTTCCTTCCCGGGCTCCTGCCGCCCCTCCCACGTTCCATCCCCCGCCGCACCCCGCACCCTCGGACCGCCGCTGTCTGGGGTGCTTCCGCTGCGGGCGAAGTTAGATCAGAGAAGAAGACCCGGCAGTGATTTCAGCCCCGGGAACACGAGGGAGAAATTCGAGCGCCCCGGCGAACAGGCGTGGGAGCAACGCTGGCGGGCGGGCCGGCCGGCGAGCGCGGCTGCCTCCAGAGACCTGCTCGGCCCGGGGGCCCTCCCCCCGGGCCCGCGCTCGGATTTGCCCTGGGAGCCCCAGAGACAGCGGGCACCGGGGCTGCCCTCCTGTGGGCGTCTCCCGGGCGGCGTGTGTGTGTGCGCGCGCAGAGTGTTCACAGTGAGGGTTTTGTCACGCCTGTGCTCAGGCGTTTTGTCCATATTCATGTTGTTGCTCTTTCTTTCCTAGTTTGGTCTCATTTGTTCAGATTTTCTACTCTTCCGAGTCCCTGGAGCTGCTCGTGTCCCCCGTTCCTCTTTGTCATCGCAGAGTTCCAGAGGGGTTCTTCCCCGCCCGAAGCAGGCTGACCCTGTGCTGGGTGGGCCCGGGGTGGCTCCCGTGGGGCAGTGTCCCGCCCTCGGAGGGCTCCAGACACTGCCAGGAGCTCTCACCGGGTCCCCACCCACCCCCTGCTCCCCAGCCTCGCCCCAGATGCCTCTGCCCCTCCGCCTCCGGAGGCCTCTGCTGTGCCGAGGTGGGACCCAGGGTGGCCATGGCATCGCCTGTTCGGGGCCCGGGGGGGGGGGGCGCCTGGCAAACACGGGTGTCGCTGCCAGGGGACGAGGAGCTACTTCCCACTTTCCGCAGGCCAGGCGGGCTGTGTTCCCGGGACGCCTCTGCCGCGTGTCTGTCCAGAACTGGCCCCTCCCCACCCCAGTGCCCTTCTCCCGTCCTCCCGCCCCTGTGTGCTCCCGAGTTCCCTGCCAGTGTTCCCTGTTGGCAGTGGCAGTAACTTCGCACCCGGAGAGACGCTGGTGGTGCACGATGCTCCAGGGGTGAGTCTCCAGGCGTCCGCCAGCGGAGCAGCGAAGGCAGTGACTGGAGGGACCCAGTGTTGCACTTTCAGAGCCATTGTCTGCTCAGTAATAAACGGAAAGTATCAGCAAGACCGGGCTGCGACTCTTCAATACGAGGGAGATGGGGGGGGGGGGCTTCATTGCTGCTAATGCTGCCCCCCTACCCCACGCGAGGGTCTCTGCTTGAGTGCGCCCCAGACAGCCTGCGGGCCCTCCGGACAGGGGATGGGGGGCATAAACACGTGTAGAGGGGTTCTCTGATTGGTGGGCACCACTGCCAAAACGCAGTTTACATTTTCAATACCACAGTGTCTCGTTAACTCTTCTCAACTTGGGGAAAGGGGTACTGGGATGGAGGGGAGCTCCACGAATTAGACTGAAGTGAGACACCCTGCAGGAGTCGAGGGGTGTCTCTTGAGTAGCTCAGCCCACGGTGGGCGGGCGTCCTTCCGCCTGGTGCCCGTGGGAGCTCCTGGAGGGGACGAGACCTGCGGAGCCGCAGTTACTGTGCGTGCGGGTTTAAAACAATGTGTTCCGAGGCCCCATTTCAGCAGATGGAAATTTTCCTTCCGTGTGTACCAGCCGCGGTGCAAATAGGGGGCAGAAAGCCTTGCAAGTTGCTTTTGTAGCACGACAGCAACGGCGGACCCAGTAGCTGAAAAAGGCAAAAAGAAAACCGAGGACTCGGGGAGGCAGCAGCTCCAGGAGCTGCCGCCCGAGGCGGGAGGCTGCCCCCTGGTGCTGGCGCTGAGTGTGAACTGAGTCGCTCCACCAAGCCTGGACGGGCGGCCAGGGGCGGCTGCTGGGGACATGCTGCCACCACAGAGGTGCAGGAGCAGCTGCACCACGCTGCTGGGAGCGGCAGCAGGCCCTTCTCTCCCTCCAGCATCGAGGCTCCCCTCGGGGCACCCTGCCGGAGAAGCCCACCCTGAGGTGGGCCAGCTGGCGGGGCGGTCTGTGTGCAGAGTCCCCGGCCCAGTACCCCCCAAAACAGAGGAAGCTGGGAGGAAAGAGCTTAGTGATTGTACAGTTCTCCCCCTTTCCCACTCAGCACCTATACCCACCCTGCCACACATCCCTGAACTTGAACGGTATCTCAAGAGCATCCCTGTTTCCGCCCAGGATAGGATTAGTTGTAGGACGTTCTTCCCCTCTCCCCAAACTGAGGACGGGCAGAGCCCAGCCTCCCGTGGGTGCCTCTGATTCCGTCCCGGCCTCGTCCGGCTAGAAGGGGGAATATAACGGAATGGCACCTAGAGACGAAGGGGTCGAGTTAACTTCCCACAAAACTTGCATAAGATAACGAGGAAAGAAAACGTGTGTGCAGCGGCTCTGGGGGCAGCGGCTGCATCCATCCAGGAACGACAGGTGGGTCATGGCTCACGAGGCTGGGGTTGCTGCTTCATGACCTCGTTGCCGCTGCCTGGCTGGGCCTCCTGTGTCTTCGGCCAGGGCCTCCGCTGCTCAGGAACCTTTACTTGGCACGGTCGATCCAAACCCTTGTTCCCAAAGGATCTGACTCGTGCAGCCTTGATTCAGCACAGCTTTCCATGTTTGCTGTTGCTAGAGGGTTCTCCGGGCTCCAGCCTTGGTCCTGGCACCCCGATGGTGGGGGAACCCGAGCCCAGGTTCCGCTGGCAGTGCCCCCACGCCGGAGAATGAATGTGTTCCCTGCTGGCTCAGTGTGGGCTCAGGGTCCTGAGGAGCCCACGTGGCCGGGGGAGACTTCGTTTGCAGTCTGATGTAGCCACCGCTCTGTCCCCTGCAAACCGAGACCTCCGTGGCAACAGGACTCCGGTCCGCCGGTCCCTGAGTTCCGGTTCTGGAGAGGGACGCACGTGAAGCAGCTACCGCCACCTCTGGGACAGCCCCCGCCCTCTCAGGGGACTGCCATCAGCGGGCCCTTCCGCTCGGCCCCTGCAGCCGCTCCGTGCGGTGGCAGCAGTGTCACGTGATTTCGAGGCCATCGCCCCACTCCGTTGGCTGTGAAACGAGTGCCTCGGTTAGAAGTAGCAGGTGGAACGCCGTGCTGGTGAATTCGGCATTCCCTCCACCCGCGCCGGTCACGCTGGGGGAGGCCGTGCAGGAGGGAGTGCCAGGCCGCCTCCAGGACACGCGTCTGCTCATGTGCTTTCCCCGAGGGCAGGGGGGCCAACCCAGCCTTCCTCACCCAGCCTGTCCCCGGTCTCCTGGACGGTCCGTGGTTCGGCGCCTCTCTCCTCCGCGTGTCTCTGCGGGCCACGCTCAGTCAGGACAGGGAGCGGACGGAGAGACGTCCGCCAGTCTCGGGCCCAAGGAGGCAGGTGGAGCCGTCCACTGTCCCTGGGCCAGCAGGCCTTCCTCCTGTCGCTGACCAGAGGACGGCTGACGTTGATGTCCCAGCCCCAGAGGCCCGTCCCAGCCTCGGCCTCCGCCTGCTCCCCCAGAGCCCCCCTCGGATGGCTCCTGGAAGGGGCTGAGAGTCCTGCAGAGGCCGCAACCTGTCTAGCCCGGGCTAGCCTGGCCCTGCCCAGCATGGGGCTCCTGGGGGGCCTGTCCCCCTCAACGCTCTCCTTTCTCAGGTCTATTCCCCATGCTCTCCGGCTCGCCGTGCCCCCCCACACCCCAGCCCTGGGCGCCCCGGCTGGGGTCCTGGCTGCCTCAGCGCTAGGCTGCCTCGCAGTCACTAATCTAGCCAAACGTTTGCCCCAGCTCAGCCCCACCCGCTGTCTCCTGCCAGTTCCCACTTTGCCCTCCAAGACTCCTCACAAAGGGCAGGGTCTCATCCCTCCGGCTGACAAAATGGCCCAGGCCAGAGGCAGAGAGACCACCCCACCTCTCCTTAACACAGCGGGTGCCCCTTGGGGGGTTCTGGGGGGCAGCTGGGACTGCGGTCTTCGCCTGGGTCCCCGGCTCACACAGCCCCCCAAACCCCCGGGACCTCCCGAGCTTGAGGACAAGGGGAGCATCTTTTGTTCTGAGTTCCCAAAACCACCTTAGAGCCACGGGGTGACACGGGCGTGTCGTTATTGGTAACCAGCCCCTTTCCAGCACAACTGGGCTTATGTTCATCAAGTCACTTTTGGTTTTTTTGTTTTTTAAAATTTCTATTTATTTTTTAGAGAGAGAGGAAGGGAGAGCAAAAGAGAGGGAGAGAAATAGCCACCGGTTTGCCCCACCCACGGAG